TTATTTGTGTAACGTGGCTTATTTCCCCCGATGCAGAAGATGCTCTCAGTTCCCCCACAGAATAGCTCAGCAGAGTGCACACGGGGCGCAGGTGTGTGTGTGTGTGTGTGTGTGTGTGTGTGTGTGTGTGTGTGTGTGAGAGAGAGAGAGAGAGAGAGAGAGAGAGAGAGAGAGAGAGAGAGAGTTTCCATCTGATCAGCTATCTCTGAGAGCAATGCCCCCAAACATTGTCCTTTTTGCCACGCCCTCTAGGGGGAGCCCAAGCTGACAGCCCGACCTCCCTGCCACCATTCCCTCTGCAACCAAAGGAGGGTGTGGAGTTCCCAAGGGGATAATTGCCCAAGAGTGGAGAGTCGAGGGCAGCACTGAACTAGAAGTGGGGAGAGACAGCAAGATGTCATGAAAAAACAACCTGGGCTCACCCGTTGTGGCTTAGAGGTTTAGCGTCAATCTATGCACCAGGAGGCCACATTTGGTTCCCAGTCAGGGCGCATGCCCAGGTTGCAGGGTGTGCAAGGGGCAGCTGGTAGATGAGACAACTGTTGTTTCTATTCCTCTTTCCCTTCCTCTCTCTGAAATTTTAAAAAAAAAAAAAATAAAGAAAGAAAGACAGTCTGGGCCTTAGATTCGCACCCTGACTTTCTCACTTAATAGCTGTGTGACCTTGAGCCCGTTCACATCACCTCTCTGAGCCTCAGTGCCCTCATCTGTAAAATGGTGCTGCCTCAGTAAGTTGCGAGGCTTCAATGAATTAACTAATGCCCTTGTTTTAAGGATCGTGGTGACCAGAAGGCCCTATGGCAGCTCAGAGAAGGGGCCTGTAAGCCATCCTGTGTGGAGGGAGCAGGCAGGCATGGAAGGGCAGGCCTGAGCTAAATGTTGGAGGGTGGGCAGAAGGTTGCCAGATTGGGGTATTGGGGGCAGTGGGCATAAGAGACAGAGATCGGGTCAGGAGAGCCATTCCGTGGTGATGGTGAAGAAGTTGGAGATGGTCCCATGGGTGATAATTCCCGAAACACCTGTTAGATCATGTTCCTCCTCCACTCATCTCAATCAGAGCAAAAACCAGCCTTCATTGCCTCAGTGGTTAGAGCATCAGCCCACACACTGAAGGGTTGTGGGTTCAATTCCAAGTCAAGGGCATGTACCTGGGTTGCAGGTTTGATCCCATGGGGATGTGTGCAGGAGATGGACACGTCTCTCACATTGATGTTTCTTCCTCTCTGTCTGTCTGTCTCTCTCCCTCCCTTCCACGCTCTCAAAAAAAAGAAAAAATCAATGCACTCTGGCTGGCATTGTTGAGCGTTGAACTATGAACCAGGAGGTCATGGTTTGTTTCCTGGTCAGGGCACATGCCCAGGTTGTGGGCTCAATCCCCAGTGTGGATCATGGAGGAGGCAGCCAGTTGATGATTCTCATCATTGATATTTCTATCTTGCTTCCTCTCCCTTCCTCCCTGAAATCAGTAAAAATATTTTTAAAAATAAAAAATGAATGAAAAAAAATATCCCCAGGGGGGAGGAGTAATGGCAACAAAAAGTCAGTCTCTATTATGAGCTCAATGCCCTCATGATTTGGTCCCTTGTTACCTCTCTGATCTCACCTCCTATCACTTTCCTTGCTGTCACTCTGCTCCAGCTGCACTGTTCCTCCACCAATCATGCCAGGCACAGTTCTACCTCAGGGCCTTTGTACTGGTTCTGCCCTCTGTCTGCACTGCTCTGGCTTCGGATAACCTCACAGCTCACTCTCTCACTTCCATCAGGGCTCTGCTGATAGGCTGTTTCTTCAAAAAGACCTTCCCCGGCCACCACATCTAAAACAGCAGCTTCCTTCCTAGCACTCATCTCTACAGCATCACCTCTCCGAGAGAACAGATCTTCTGCGTCTTGTTCGCTGTTACATTTGCAGCCCCCAGCACAGTGCCTGGCACAGAGAGAGTGCTCCGTCATTGTTTGCTGGTTGAGTCATGAGGAGCCATGGAAGCGTTTTAGTGGGAGAACAGTAGTCAGATTTGTACCTGGGAAAGCTATCTCTCTGGCCACAGGATGGAGAAAGGATTAGACGCCATGGTCAAAGTATAGGTGAGAGGCCCTAGCTGGTTTGACTCAGTGGATAGAGTGTTGGCTCACGGACTGAAGGGTCCTGGGTTGGATTCCAGTCAAGGGCACATACTGGTTGCGGGCCTCAATCCCCCACCCTTGAGCCTTGGTCGGGCACATGCGGGAGGCAACCAATGGATTTGTCTCTGTTACATCGGTGTTTCTATCTCTCCCTGTCCCTTCCATTCTCTCTAAAAAGCAATGGAAAAATATCCTCGGTGGAGGATTAACAAGCAAAAAATTTAGGTGAAAGGCCTTACCTGTCCTCTCAGCTAATAAGCCTACCAGAGCTCATTCATTGACACCCTTACTCTGGACGTTTTTATTGAGCACCTACTCTCTCCAGGCCTTGTACTCTGTGTCCCTTAGGAAATTATCAAATTCTCTTCTTGGGCTGGGATTCCGGGAGTCATGACCACAAGTAGCTGCCACGCTTTGCCAAAGCTAACCTGCGCCTTTAAAAAGGGGGCGCTCAGAACAGGATCAGGCATGGCTCCTGGCTCTGGGAGGGCTTCTTGGTGCTGGCATATGACCCGAATCTTGACGGAACTGGGTTGTGGGGGGATCTCTCAGATGGCAGATGGCGGAGATGATAGGGACTGCATTCCAGGTGAAAGGTACTGTATGTGCAGCTTTGGCGGTGGAAAGCAGAGGGGTATTGGGGAGAAACAGGATCCGGGCCAGGCTGGAGGGAGGGATGGCTGGGGTAGGAGACTGGCAACCAACCCCTGCATGGCTTAATGTTGAAGAGTGAGCCCTGGAGTCACACTGCCTGGACTCGGATCCTGGCTCTGTCATAAATAGCTGCGCGTGATCATACATATGTTTTTGAAGCTCTCTGGGCCTCGGTTCCTTGATGTGTAACATGAAGACAAATAACAATACCCATTTCATAGGGTTGTTTGGAAGAGGAAACAAGTTATCAGACGTGAAGTGGTAAGAACAGTGGCTGAGCATGCTCCGAGCTCTCTAAGCATTAGCTGTTACCTTGGGAGAAAACTCAAACGCCACAATAAGGAACTTGGGCTGTCTCTTGTGGGCAGTGGGAGCTATGGATGGCTCATGGACATAGGAGACAGTTTATCAGAATTTCAGAATTGAGCTGGGGTTGTGTACTGGGAGACAGAGGTTTGAGACGTGGTGGGCAAGATTCTGAACCCACAACCCTTCAGTGTGCGGGCTGATGCTCTAACCATTGAGGCAATAAAGGCTGGTTTTTGCACCAGAGCAGTGCAGACAGAGGGCAGAACCCGAGGGGGAGGGAAGGAGCATCTTAGATGCCTGGGGTGGGGGCCAGGGGTTGGGCAGAGTCTGACTCCTGGAGGGAAACTTACCAGGCCCCTGAGGTCCAGGAGGAGAGAGAATTTGGGATAAAAGGCAGCGCCCCAGTTTGTTTCCACCTGGCTCCTAGTAGGCTGCAGGCTGATGCCTGGGAGGGAGGAAGATGAGCAGTGGGCGGAGCTAAGCCCCTGCAGCCTGGGACCTGGCCTCGTGGGTGCAGCTTCCCACGGAGCCCAGCACCCAGCCCAAAGTGCTCCTCTGCGGGACTCTCAGGTTGCTGCAGCTCTAGCTCCTGGCTGGTAGAGAGCCCGCCACACCCACCTCAGCTCTCCTCTGCCTTTGCCAAGTAGGGGCTGGGGAGTGTCCTTTAACCCTTCCACCAGCCAAAAGCCCTCTGGACCTTGTGCTTGCCCAAATCAGACCATCACCTGGGCCCAGCCACACCCATTCCCCCCAACCACAGTCCTCTCCAGTTCTCACCAGATCTTGCTCTTAATTCTCTCCCGTTGGCCAACCTCTGTGGCTCCTCGCCGTGTCCTCTGGGCTCTGGGCGTCTGGGCTCTGTCGCCACCTGGGTTCCCTGGCAGCCTGGTTGTCATGGCACCATGGAAGCAGGTCTGGTGGAACAACAGCTCTGGGTAACCAGGGCAGGCAAGGCCCAGTGCCTAGCTCCTGCCATTCTTCTGCCTTGAGACCCCTGAGTCCCTCCCCCAGCTGAGCAGAGAAGGCCATGAGGAGAAAAAGGAAGCTGCCCCGCAGAGCAGCTCTTTACCTGTGAGGATGCTGCAGGGGAAGCGACGCCCACTGTCACTGAGCCCTGTGCCCTGGCAGCCAGGGAGCCCTGGGAACTGGCCGGGCCCCGTCCAGGCCTCTAAGGGCAGGGGTGAGGCTTCAGGGGGCGGGGCAGGGCGGGGAGGGGAGAGCGTGGAGAGCGTGGATACCCGGATGCCAGGAGTGGGCCTGGGGCTGGGACAGGGCTGATCTGGGGTGGTGCTGGGAATCAGACTGGGAGGGAAACCTTGGCGCGTGCGTGCGGGCACACACACAGTGTGGGGGGCAGACCTGTGAGGGGGAAGAGGTTTAGGGGGAGGGGAGCTCTAAGGGAAATGGCCCATCAAGGTGGATTTGGAGGTGGAGCTGTTAGGATAGGATTATTAGGGAAAAAGGGGGGGGGGTTGTGGGGACAAGGCCAGGAAGAAACAAGTCTGGTTAAAAAGTCTGTGGGGGGACGTGGCCGTGAGGGGACCAGGCAGTGAGGGGCGGACAAAACTGAGAAGACCACACCCCAAGAGAAAGGAGTCGGAGGATAGAGCTGAGAGCAGGGATAGGGCCTGTGAGGGGAGAGGGCCCTTGGAGATAGAGCTGTGAGCGGGTGGGGCTGAAATGGAATAAGGTCAGGGCTGAAGGGAAGGGACCCTGAGGGCAGTGAGGGGCAGGAAGGACTGTCTAGCTTGGAGGCAGGTAGGGCTGCTTTCTGGCCTTTAAGTGTTGGGGTCCCTGTATCTGGGAAGAAGCCGAGGGGGATGGGGCTGCGGAAGGGATTCGGTCCCACACTCAGTCTGGCCCAGCAGGCATCCTTTGTTCCCACATCCTGGCTTATCTTATCTAATCCCACAGTGTGGAGGGTGATGCCCCAGGCAGTGACCTGAGCACAGCGGTCGATAGTCCTGGGAGCCAACCCCCCTACCGTCTGAGCCAGCTGCCCTCCAGCAGCAGCCATATGGGGGGTCCCCCTGCTGGGGTGGGCCTTCCCTGGGCTCAGCGGGCTCGCCTCCAGCCAGCCAGTGTGGCCTTGAGGAAGCAGGAGGAGGAGGAGATCAAGCGCAACAAGGCCCTGTCGGACAGCTACGAACTCTCCACGGACCTGCAGGACAAAAAGGTACAGAGGACACAGCTCTGCTTGGGAATGGGAGGAGGAATGAGGCTGTGAGGGAACCAAGGGGGATAGGGGTTGGGAGGTGGCCCTTAAGGGCCATATGTATAGAGGGGTAGTGAGACTGGAGGGGGGAAGACTGGCTGCAGGACTCACCACCTCTTCCCCAGGTATCCTCTCCCTCAGCACACACTGCTTCAGCTCCCGGCTGGGCACTGGGGATGTAAAACTGAGTGGGACCTGGATCCAGGCCTCAAAGATCTCTGTCTGATGGGAGAAGCACACACTTAAATTGACAATGTCAGGAGAATATGCTACGATATATCACATATACTACACAAGATATTGCTTGGCTAAAGGGAAGGGTACAAAAATACTACATATAGGGGAAAAAAAACAACTGGAAGGACACATACCAAAATTTTAATTGTTGTTATGCCTAGGTGTTGAGACTAAGTGAGCCAACCTACCTTCCTTCCTTCCTCCCTCCCTCCCTCCCTCCTTCCCTCCCTCCCTCTCTCCTTCCTTTCCTTCCCTCTCTCTCCCTCCATGTCCACCCTCTCTTCCTTTTTCTCTCTCTTCCTCCTTCATCTTCTTCCTGCTGTCAATCTTCTTTCTTTCTTTCTTTCTTTCATTTTTATTGAATTTATTGGAGTGACTCTGGTTAATAAAATTATATGTTTCAAGTGTACAATTCTGCAATACATTACCTGTGTACTATATTATGTGTTCACCACCCCAAGTCTCCCTTAATTCCTCCTTTACCCTCTTCTCTCCCCCCCACCCTTTCCCTCTGGTGATCACCATGCTGTTGTCTGAGTCTATGAGTTTTTTGTTTTGGCTTTTTGCTTAATCCCTTCTCCCTCCCCTCTCCTCCCCTCCCCTCTTCTCCCCTCCCCTCCCCTCCCCTCCCCTTCCCTCCCCTTCCTCTTTCTTTCTTGCTTCCCTTTCCCTCCATCCCTCTCTCCCTCCCTCCCTCTCCTTTCCTTCCTTCCTTCCCCTCCATCCTTCCTTCCTTTTTTGGCTTCTCTGTTTTCTTTCTAACTTTTTGGGAATACTATCTACTTCTTATAAATAATAAAAGAAAACCACAACCCAGTCCCATGTGACAAGCAGTATCTGAGATTAGAGTGGAAGAATACTTGAGCATGCGGTAGTTAGCTGTGTCTCAGTGGTGGTGTGGTTGAGGTCCAGGGACATGAGACTTTTATGAGTCTGACCCTCTTCCCCTCGACCCTCCCCTGCAGGTGGAAATGCTGGAGAGGAAGTACGGGGGCTCCTTCTTGAGCCGTCGGGCTGCCAGGACCATCCAGACGGCCTTCCGCCAGTACCGCATGAACAAGAACTTTGAGCGGCTCCGCAGCTCAGCCTCGGAGAGCCGCATGTCCAGACGGATCATCCTTTCCAACATGCGGATGCAGTTCTCTTTTGAGGAGTACGAGAAGGCCCAGAACCCTGCGTACTTCGAGGGCAAGCCTGCCTCGCTGGACGAGGGTGCCATGGCTGGTGCCCGGAGCCACCTGCTCGAACGGGGCCTCCCGTATGCGGGCTCCTGTGGAGGGGGCATCGATGGTGGGGGCAGCTCCGTCACTACATCGGGAGAGTTTTCCAATGACATCACAGAGCTGGAGGACTCCTTCTCCAAACAGGTCAGCATCCCTGAAAAGGGCCCTTCCTCCCCATCCCTCTGCTCTGGCTCATCATCCGACCTTTGACCTGTACTACAAACTGAAACATGTGGCCCAACAAGCATTTAAGAACCGCTAGCTACCATGAGTAGGGACTGTGAGGACAACGGGAACGAATTGGCAAGACAAGAAATTATATTGTCAAAAAAAGCAAGTTAAAAATCTGGGCTTATAGAACACATAAGAACTTGATCCGCTATCTAATTAAGGCCTAACAAACAGGGGATGAGTGCCTACTGTGTGCGCTTCATAATGACCTGTGAGATGGGCACACACAGTAGGCGCTCATCACCTGTTGGTTAGGCCTTAATTAAACAGTGGATCAGGTTAAAAATCTGGGTTTATAGAACACATAAGAACTTGATCCAACTTTACAAAGGAGGCCACTGAGGCTCTGGAACCCTGAGAGGTGGAGTGACTTTTCCAATCTGGATTGGAAGTCAGCTCGGTCTGGTTCCAAAGCCCATGCCCTTTCACTTACGTCACACTACCATGGGCCAGGCTCCATCCTCGGAGCCATGAGAAAGGATCCCATCTAGTACCACGGGAACCCAGAAGAGGGAGAAGAAACTTCCTTCTGGGAGGACCAGAGGAAGGTTCTTTGAGAAAACAGATAAATAAGACTGAGCAAGTTAGAGCTAGTTGGCAGGGTGTTGCTTGCACAGGCATTGCATCAGCAAAAGCCTGAAAGGGTAGGAATATAGCAGGCACTGAGGGCAGTGGGATATCATTCTAGGCTTGGGTGCGTCAGCACAGCTGTTCAGGTGCACATTCCAGCTCTGCCATTTCCCAGCTGTGGGGCTTCGGGCAAACTGTCTAACCTCACTGAAACATGACAAATGAAACAGAGGTAAATCTTTCCTTTTAGAGTTGTTTCAGAGATTCAGTTCATCTAGTGATGTATACAGAAACACCTAGTTTGTGGTAGCTATGAAGTCCGTGTTAGTTTCCTTCCTAAAAACCAAGAAGGTGAATTGTTGAATGAATGAATGGAGCTTTAGAAGAGAAGAAACCACTTTTCTCTCACCTCTGTGATGTGGTCATGCCATCAGCCTGGGTATGCCTCTCTGGAGCTAGCGAAGGGGGGTGTGTTGGGTGAGGTGGGTAGAGGGGAAAGAAAGAAGTATTAAAGAAAAATCTAAATCACTCATCTATTCACTCATACAACAAACATTAATTGATCATCTCTTCTGTGTCAAGAAATATGTTGAGCTGAGTTAGAAAGACAGAAACTGGGCCTGGACCCATCCTTTAAGGGGGAGTAGAGGGAAGAGGTTCATAGTTTGATAGGGAAATCAAAGAACCAGTCCTAGGCCCAGTGTTATCCAAGTCTGATGGGGAAGTGTATTAGTTACCTTTTGCTGCATAATAAATGACTCAGGGTCTCTCATAGGCTGTAATCAAGTTTAGGGTAGGGTCAAGATCTCAGAAGACTTGACTGAGGCTGAGAGGTCTGCTTCTGAGCTCACTCCGTTGGCTGTTGGCAGGAGGGTTCAGGTGCTCACTACGTGGGCCTCTCCATAAGACTGCCCGTGGCTTCTGCAGAGCAAAAGGTCTGAGGGAGAGAAAGCACAGCAAGCGAACATGCTCAGGACAGAAGCCGTAGTCTTTCATAACCTAATCTCGGAAGTGACTCTCATCACTTCTGCCATATGCCATCAGTCCCACAGACCAACCCCAGGGACAGTGTGGTACACAAGGGTGTGAATACCAGGAGGCAGGAATCATTGGGGGCCAGGTGAGAGGCTGAATACCACAGGGAAGTAGAGTTACCAGCCACGGTCTGGCTTCTCAAGGCTAAGTTTTGTGGGTTTCCTAGTGTAGAAGGAGACAGAGGGCTCTGAAAGGCCAGAGGAAGCTGGGGCTTTGGTTCACCCAGGGGATGGCAGAGGCAGAAATGTGGATTGAATGGGAGTAGGTGGCATTTGACTTGGGTCTACATGGACATTGAGGAGGTATTGGAATATCTGAGAGGGGAGCTTGTGGGCATGAGCCCCAGCTCCTGTGAGCTCACAATGTCTCCCTGGGAGTTGTTTCATATACTGCAGAGAACCTATGGAGGGGGGAGGGGAACCCCTTTTCTTGGCTGACCCACCAGGAAGTTCCCCCTATTCCCTTCCTTTCCTCCCTCATTCCCGCCCTTCTTTCATCCCACCAACCTTCCCTACATCTTCCCTTCCTTTCCCTTTCTGTGTCTCCTCCCCTTTTCCCCAAACACAGGTCAAGTCTCTGGCTGAATCCATTGATGAGGCCCTGAACTGCCACCCATCGGGGCCCATGTCTGAGGAGACAGGGTCAGCACAGCTGGAGAAGCGAGAGTCGAAGGAACAGCAAGAGGACAGCTCAGCCACATCCTTCAGTGACCTTCCCCTCTATTTGGATGACCCAATTCCCCCACCATCCCCTGAACGACTTCCCAGCGCAGAGCCCCCACCCCAGAGCCGGCCTGAGTTCTGGGCACCAGCCCCTCACCCACCAGTTCCTCCACCAGGGCCACCAGGGACCCGGGAAGATGGGAGCCGTGAGGAAGGCCCTCGAAGGGGGCCTGGGTGCTTGGAGTGTCGGGATTTCCGGCTGCGGGCCGCTCACCTTCCCCTGCTCACCATTGAGCCTCCTAGTGACAGCTCTGTGGACCTGAGTGACCGCTCAGATCGCGGCTCTGTCCACCGCCAGCTGGTATATGAGGCCGATGGCTGCAGCCCCCATGGGACCCTAAAGCACAAAGGCCCACCAGGCAGGGCCCCAATCCCACACCGCCACTACCCAGCCCCCGAGGGCCCAGCCCCAGCCCCACCAGGGCCCCTGCCACCAGCCCCCAACAGTAGCACTGGGCCCAGTGGTGTGGCTGGCGCTCGGAGGTTGGGGAAGTGCGAGGCGGCAGGCGAGAACTCTGATGGTGGCGATAACGAGAGCCTTGAGAGCTCCAGCAATTCCAATGAGACCATCAACTGCAGCTCTGGCTCCTCTTCGAGGGACAGCCTGAGGGAGCCTCCAGCCACCAGCCTGTGCAAGCAGACTTACCAGCGAGAGACGAGGCACAGCTGGGACTCACCAGCCTTCAACAACGACGTGGTGCAGAGGCGGCATTACAGAATTGGCCTCAACCTCTTCAATAAGTATGTGCTTCTCATTCCTGCCCCCCTTGCCCCTTCCCACCCTGCCATGACGCACTCTGAATCCCTGGGGCTGACCTCCAAGCAGTAATGTGCTTCTGCCAGCTTCACATTTTGTGGGTGGTGTTTCTCCCCAGCTGTTTACTGAAGGGGATTGACAACAGGGTGGCAGAGGAGAGAGTCCCCCAACACACCCATCAGAGGCAGTTCTAGTCCTAGCACTGCCTCTAACTGGCTGTGTGATCTTGGGTCAGATGCTCCCCTCTCTGGGCCCCAGTTGGCTATCTATAGAATGGATTCTGAACTTGGGGTCCCCAGTCTCCCCTATTTGGTAGGGAGCCAATGTGGTATGTAAAGAGACCTGCTCTGAGAAACAGGAGACCTGGACTCTTACCCTGATTTTAGCCAGACTCACTGTGTAGCTCTGGGCCAGGTGGCTTCCTTCTTTGGACTTTGGTGTTTCCATCCATCGGCTAGCCGGGTGTGTATATGTGGTACTGGGGGGGCAGAGTGGAAGGCTGGGCTAGCCAGTAACCAGGACCAAGCTCATTCTAGATACCTGGGCCTGGGCCTGGTGCTTAGGAGTGGGGTGTGAGTGCGACATTTGATTTGAAAATAGTTAGAAAATAAATGCCTTCCATGGGTAGCCTATCAGACACTGCCACCTATATTTAGTTCTCAGAATAACTCGGCAATCTGGGTGGGAGTATCCCTATATTTTTAGAAAAGGAGCTAAAGCTTGAAGAAGCAAAGGGAATTGTCCCCAGTCATGCGTGGTTAGTGATAGGTGTGAGACTCCTGTCACGCCAAAGTCTCTTCCAAATTTTAGCCTCGTGATGTCTTAAGGCTCCGAGATTCTGAATATGGGGTAGCTCAGACCCAGAGTTGGCCCAGTGAGAAGTAGGAAACACCTTGTCTATGGAAATGCTCAAAGGCTGGGTGATGCCTATACAGGTGGGCCTGAGCCCGGGCCTTGGGAAGGAGGGCATAGCCTGGAGCTCAGGCCCTCTTCCAGGACTCCTCAGTGCCTGCTAGGAATAGCAAAGCTCCTGGGGTAGAGCAGGCTCTCACTAAACCTTAATTTTCTTTCCATTATAGTGTGGCTCCAGTGGAGGAGGAAGTTGGGTTGAGGATGCCTTGGAATTTTGAAACTGTGGAATGGGAAAGTGACCTCAGTTTTCTGAAGGGATTGGACCAAATTATGTATTTGACTTCCTTGGTTCTCCGAGGTCGTGATTGGGCCCCAAATTAGTTCAAGCACTGGGACCGAGAGCCAAGTTCTAGGTGGATGGTCATCTCATCTCCCTCCCTTCTTTCTGCAGGAAGCCAGAGAAGGGCATCCAGTACCTGATTGAGCGGGGCTTCCTGTCAGACACACCGGTGGGAGTGGCTCACTTCATCCTGGAACGGAAAGGCCTCAGCCGGCAGATGATAGGGGAATTCCTAGGGAACCGGCAGAAGCAGTTCAACAGAGACGTATTGGAGTGAGGACCCTGGCATGGGGCAGGCTGGGCCAGGGATTTCTGGAAAAGGAGGGCTGGAGGGAGGAGGCAGCCTTTCCTTTGCTCAAACTTGGAAAACGAGATGAATAGGCCTTCCTGCTCCCATAACCCTCTGCACCAACCCTCTGATCTCTCTTGGTCCTATTCCTAAAGGCTTCTGGGTAGCCCCAGGTAAGGCACGCTTTTCCTATGGCCTCTGGGCCTCAGTTTTCCCATGTCTGAAATGAGTGCGTCATGGAAAGGACTCTTAGTAGCCACACGTCATGTCTGGACCTCATTTTCTGGTGTGGATTCAGTTTCAAACGTTCCGCCCTCATCTGGGTCATGGGTCCATATTTTGTGGACGTCTCTCAATGGAGGAGTTGGTCCATTTGAGCAGGTCCAGGTGGGTCAGAGGTTTTGTGCAGAGGAACTGAGAGTGCCAACCCCCTCCTTGTTCCTCAGCTGTGTGGTGGATGAGATGGACTTCTCCTCCATGGATTTGGATGATGCGCTCCGGAAGTTCCAATCCCATATCCGGGTTCAGGGCGAGGCTCAGAAAGTGGAGCGACTCATTGAAGCCTTCAGGTGCGCCTGTTTCCCACTAATAAGCTACCTTTCTCTATTTCGGGGGGCAGCATAGCGTGTCTATAGATCACTCTCTCAGCTTCATACTTTCCTCATCAGAAAACGGCAATTACAAATTTTATCTTGTGAGGCAGGTAAGTGGTGAGGATCAGAGATAATGTGCATAAAGTATCGAGCTTGGCATCTGTCAAGCTGGATGCTCTATGCACATTATCTCTGATCCTCACCACTAAGTCAGCAACAATAGCTAGTGTTTGTTGAGCTCTTACCAGGTATCAGGTGCTGAGCTGGGCACTTTACAGTATTATTTCGCCAAATGCTCACAACGACCTATAAGGTAGGTGTTTCTATTATTATTTCTGTTTTGCAGATGAGAAACTAGTAGTTTAGAGAGGTTAAATAACTTGCCCAGAGTCATACAGTGAATACGCAGTGGAACCAACATTTGAACTTCAGTGTGTCTTGACTCCATGTCCCTTAACTCTTTTTTTAATCCTTACCGAGGATATGTTTTTATTGGTTTTAGAGAGAGGAAGGGGAGGAGAGAGAGAGAGAGAGAGAGAGAGAGAGAGAGAGAGAGAGAGAGAGAGAGAGGAGAAACATCAATTGGTTGCCTTCTGTGTTGTCCCCTACTGAAATGTAACCCACAACCTGGGTACATGCCCTTGACCGGAATAGAACCTGGGACCCTTCAGTCCACAGGCCGACGCTCTATCCACTGAGCCAAACTGGTTTCGGCGTGACCCTTAACTTTTATTGTCTATTATGAATGCTTCGGGGATCAGGCAGTCCTGGGCATAAATCCTGGCCCCGCCACTTTGCGGGTATTTAGAAGAGAACGAGTGTTGCTGAGAACTTGTTTCCTATAATGGAGAAGATTTTCTTTGCAGTCAGAAAGATTTAGATTTTCATCCTTGCTTCCCCATTTACCAGCTCTATTACTTTGGGCAAGGTACCTTACCACTGGGGGTCTCAGTCACTTCATCTGTAAAATAGGGCTGCTAATAGCTACCTTGCAGGACTGTGATAGGACTACATAAGACATAGACCCTCTGTAGAGTATTTATGTATGAAGCTGAGAGGTGATCTGTAGAGTTCAGTAAAAGGTAGTGATTGTGAGTTTGACATGCTAGTCTTAGGGAAACTCTGAAAAAAAAAAAAATACACCCAAAGGATTTGGGAGTACCGTGTTTCCCCAAAAATAAGACATCCTCCGAAAATAAGACCTAGCGCAACTTAGGGAGAAAAAATTAATATAAGACACTGTCTTATTTTCGGGGAAACAGGGCACTTGTCAAAGGAGAGGGTTGGTGGTACCAGGCTGGGAGGATGGTGGGTAGGTGGAGATTACTGGTGCCTGACCCTGATCCCTCCTGCCCTGCAGCCAGCGGTACTGTGTGTGTAACCCAGCCCTCGTGCGCCAGTTTCGGAACCCAGACACCATCTTCATCCTCGCTTTTGCCATCATCCTCCTCAACACTGACATGTACAGTCCCAGCGTCAAGGCTGAACGCAAGATGAAACTAGATGACTTCATCAAGAACCTAAGAGGTGACCCCAGAACTCCCTGTCAGCTTTTCCTGTCCTTCCCCTGGGAAGGGAAACTGGGCAGGATGGGAGGGTGGGGTGAGGAAGGTTCCTTGGAAATTAACCTGTGATGCTCTCACTTTCTACTAAGGCGGGATGATCCTGGGCATTCATTTATTCATTCATTCGTTCAGTTGGCCATCTACTCATTCCCACACTGAATATTGACTGAGCAGGTTCTAAACAAAAGAGATAAAAGCCCTGACTCTTCCAGGCCTTATACTGGTTCACCCATTCATTCATGTGTCCATTCACTCATCATTCAATCTTTTTCTCTCTTCTTTATTTATGCCCATAAATGCTAATTTATTTTAGTACCCTTTCTTTAATGCTTTTATTTTTTAAACTAGAGGCCAATGCACGAATTTGTGCAGGGGGCTCGGCTGGTCCTCACAACTCTAGCTTCATTGGAAGGTCATCGGAAGTCTTTCAGCTGTCCTGTCTAATTAGCATATTATGCTTTTATTATTATAGATTTGTCTTATTTCAAAGAAAAGGAGAGAGAGCCGAAACCGGTTTGGCTCAGGGGATAGAGCATCGGACTGTGGACTGAAAGGTCCCAGGTTCGATTCTGGTCAAGGGCATGTACCTTGGTTGCAGGCACATCCCCCGTAGGGGGTGTGCAGGAGGCAGCTGGTCGATGATTCTCTCTCATCGATGTTTCTAGCTCTCTATTCCTCTCCTTTCCTCTCTGTAAAAAAATCAATAAAATATATTTTTTTAAAAAAGAAAAGAAAGGGAAAGGGAGAGAGACATAGAAACATCAATAATGAGAGAGAATCATTGATGGGCTGCCTCCTGCATGCACCCTACTGGGGATTGAGCCTGCAACCCGGGCATGTGCCCTGACTGGGAATCGAACCCTGACTTCCTGGTTCATAGGTCAATGCTCAACTGCTGAGCCACTGGCCAGGCTATGCATTGATTTTTTAAATATATTTTATTGATTTTTTACAGAGAGGAAGAGAGAGGGATAGAGAGTTAGAAACATCCATGAGAGAAGATTATCGATCAGCTGCCTCTTGCACACCCCCTACTGGGGATGTGCCCGCAACCCAGGTACATGCCCTTGACCGGAATCGAACCCGGGACCTTTCAGTCCGCAGGCCAACGCTCTATCCACTGAGCCAAACCAGTCTCGGCTGCATTTATTTTTTAACTCAACCAGTCAGCCAGTAAGTTGACACTAACCAAGTGCCTCATGGGTGCCAGGCGCCCTACGATGGGTGCTAAGGACAGTGGAAGGGCTTCTGCCATAGTCCCTGCTCCAAAAGAGCTCCCTGTTTGTGGGAGAGACTGACTTATAGTACCAGAGACACGACACAGGAAGAAAGCGAATGGTGATGTCAGACCATGATGTCAGGCAGGGCAAAAGGACAGAGCTCAGAGCTCAGAGGAGGAAGAGCTTGCTTCCAGAGCGCTTGCTGGAGTATTCATTTTAAGGTGGACCTTGTAGACACAGATAAAGTAGGCCTAGACTTACCTGGCAATAAGAATAACAAATGCACAGGAGTAGGAAAATCGAAAGTTGCCTGGAGAATAATCGAGATGGGATCGATGATCCAGTTGGAAAGGTCGGTTGGAACCAATATATAAGGGCCTTTGCGTGCCAGATGAAAGGTTTTATCTTGACCTTTTGTCTTGGTTTATTGTATTGATGTCAGGCCCTGCCTCTCACCAAAGGGCAGCCTCCTAGAAATGGCTCATATGTTAGGATTATTGAAACACAAACTAAAGAGGGAAACAGAATTGCGGAAAAACAAGCAGACAAGACAAATTTGCTGACCTTCTGGTGTTTGCACAGTCTCTGAGCTTAATCACTCAGACAGCTGAAGTCAAAAGGCAGGGTGAGGAAGGGTGTTCCTTTAGCACCTGTCCAAGGAAGAGGCATGGTGTTTCCAAAGGAGAAAACATTTCCTCCAACAGGTTTAGAGAGAAGAGTGAGTGGGTTTGCTCAGTAGACAATCAGGAGTGGAGAAGGATGGTGAACGGGAGGAGCAAGACAGACCAGAGGCCATCTGGAGCTGTCTCCCAGAAGCCTCCATTAGTCATTCATTCATTCATTCATTCATACATTCATTTTATTCATTTGCCTCCCTCCCTCTCTTTCTCCATATGTGTGTGTTTATATGTATGTATGTGTGTATGTGTATGCTTATATGTATTATAGTTCTCCCCCTCCACCTATTAAGTAAATAAATAAATGAATACCTGCTCACTACAGAACTTTGGGAAACAGAGAAAATTAGAACATTAATCACCCAAAATTTTGCCCCCTGAAGGCAACCATGGTTGTTATTTTAGGGTAGTCTCGTCTTTTTTCCTACGTTCATATAACTTTTGATAAGGTAAAGATTATATACACAGTGTTTCCCTGTTCTTTTCACTTAACTTGCTACAGTAATTTTCTCATGCTTGTTGTAAACATCCCGTTTTTAATAGCTACATATTATTTGATTAAACAGATATACTCAGCTCTATTTAGCTGTTCCTCTATTGTTAGAACGTAGTTTATTTAAAAATTTCCCCCTCAGTAGCGCTTGTACATATGCCTTGTACAGATTTCTGAGTAATTCCTTAGGGCAGATTCCTACAAGAGGAATCACTGAATATTTATGCTCTTGCCAAATTACCTTCCAAAATAGTTATGTTAATACACATGCCCATTTCTTTGCACTCTTACTAACACTGGCTATTACTTAACGTTATTTTTGCTAGTTAGAAAGGCAAAAAAGCTTCTAATTGTCTTAATCACAGTATGATCTGAGTTTAGATAAAATCCCCACGCTGGCAGGCTGGCAGGGGCGGGGAGCAACTGGTTATCTGATTGAAGGGTGCCACTTGTGGCCGATGCTGACGCAGGGTGGGGGTGAGGGTAGGAGTGGGGGTGGGGTGGGGGTGGGGCGGGACCAAGGGGTCAAGGGCTCCCACTCCTTCTAGACCTGGTTGTTGTTATGACCCAGGCCTGTGTGGGATGCTGTGGAGAACCCCTGCCACCCACTCCCCACATTTATGCCATGTATCTTTGTTATTCGCCCCCAACCAGGGGTTGACAATGGTGAAGACATCCCTCGAGACCTCCTGGTGGGTATCTACCAGCGAATCCAGGGGCGTGAACTTCGGACCAATGATGACCACGTGTCCCAAGTGCAGGCTGTGGAGCGCATGATTGTGGGCAAGAAACCAGTAAGTGATTTGTGAAACTTCAGAGGGGACAGGGTTTGGGTCAGCCTCTGCCACCAAGTGGTAAGTCAGTGTCCCTGTCTTGAGCCCTATGCCCACCTCACTTGCCGAGTAAAGTGGGTGGAATGCGTTCCTCGGGGGTCCCGGTACACACTGAGTGACACCTTTATGGCAATGCATCTGGCACACTGCAAGGTACACAGTGAGGTGCTGTATAAAGCTTAGCATCCTTCCCGCCTTTTTGCCTGGCCATCCCAAGTGAGGGGCCAAGCCAATCGTTGATAACCAAAGACAAGAACATACTCTAGTCTCTTAGGCAACAAACATTGACGGATGCTTTCCACCGAGCCCAGCATTTCACCGGGCACCAGGGATGCAGATATGAATCAGATGTGGTCTCTACCCCTGAGAGCTCTTACAGACAAAGATACAATACTTCTGCCTTACAGTTAGTGTAAGGGCACACAAAGGAGGGAGAGGTCATTTTCAATCCATGGAGAGTAGGAATGGCCTCTTGGAAAAGATGACATTGGAAGAGTGGAATGTGGCCATATAAGCCGGGCAGGAAAGGCATTCCAGACAGGGAGCTACAGGGACAAAGGCAAGGCAGCAGACAAGCCGAGGCCTTAGTTTCTTAGGCTCATTGTGTCTGAGTGGCAATGATAAGTTTCAGGGACAAACATCCTCTTGCGGTCAATGTTAAGGTGCCTGAAGCTGCCGTGCTGGTCTTGCTGACATCAACTTCTTTCTTCCTTCCTTTCTTTCTTTCTTTCTTCTTCTTTTTTTAAATGCTTTTATTGATTTGAGAGAGCGGAAGGAGGAGGAATAGAGATAGAAACATCGATGAGAGAGAATCATGGATCAGCTGCCTCCTGCATGCATGCCCCCTATAAGGGATGGAGCCCACAACCCAGGCATATGCCCTCACCGGGAATCCAGCTGTGACCGGGTGGTTCATAGGTGGATGCTCAACCACTGAGCCACACTGACTGGGTTGACACCTATTTCTTTTTTAAAAATGTATTTTTATTAATTTCAGAGAAGAAGGGCAAGAGAGAAAAAAAAACATCAATGATGAATCATTGATCGTCTGCCTCCTGAAGGTCCCCTACTGAGGCCCGAGCTCACAACCCAGGCACATGCCCTTGACCAGAATCGAACCCGGGACCCTTTAGTCCGCAGGCTGGCACTCTGTCCACTGAGCCAAACCAGCTAGGGCCCTATTTCTTTTTCTTTTTCTTTTTTTAAAATATATTTTATTGATTTCAGAGAGGAAGGGAGAGGGAGAGATAGAAACATCAATGATGAGAGAAAATCATTGATCAGCTGCCTCCTGCACACCTCTCCACTGAGGATGGAGCCTGCAACCTGACCAGAATGGAACCCGGGACCCTTCAGTCAACAGGACAATGTTTTATCCACTGAGCCAAACCAGCTAGGGCCTGACATCTATTTTTCCATGATTATCTAGGTACTGTCTCTTCCTCATCGCCGACTGGTTTGCTGCTGCCAGCTCTATGAGGTGCCAGACCCAAACCGCCCCCAGAGGCTAGGGTTGCATCAGCGGGAGGTCTTTCTCTTCAATGACCTCCTTGTGGTAAGAGGGCTGCGAGAGGAGGTGGTGAGCTGGGCCGGTGTGAACCACATTAACACTGTGGTGGCGATACGGTGGGTGAGGTGTTCTGCCATGTGATCTGTGCGGTCTTGGACAGGTATAGGCCACCCCTGCCCTTCCTTTACCTCCTGGATCCTTTTGGAAGTAATATAGCCACTTGGGGGCAGAAAATGTGATGGACATTGGAGATGAGAGGCTTCCAGCCTGGGAAGTGGCAGGAAATGTCCTGGGCCACCTCGGTAGCCTGCGGGGTTAGGTGGAGGGAGGTGAACCTGTGACCCTGGGTTCTGTCTGGAACCTTTGGATGGCCAGGGTGCTTATGCTTTTTAAAACCAAGCTTATCGCCAGTGTCCATATGCATGTTTCAGAGCTGGGACTCTGAGGACTCTGCAGGTGCGGAGGGAATTTCAGGGTCTCCCGTTCAGCCTCTCGTGCACGGCAAGAACTGTGGGTTTCCTCCAGCGATCATCACTCACCGTTGGGATCACAGGGAAAAGGTGTCCCTCTGCTCAGGGATTTGAGGACAGTGACTTGTCCCCCTGGAATCTCTCTCCCTCAGAGCAGGGTCTCTCAACTTTGGTTCTATTGACATTTGGGGCCGGTAATTCATTGTGGTGGGGCTGTTCTGTGCATTGTAGGATATTTAGCAGCACTTGGTCTCTATCAGCTAGGTGTCTGTGGCATTTCTTCATCCAAAAATGTCTTCAGACATTGTTAAATGTCCCCTGGGCAAGGGCAAAGTCGCTCCCAGTTGAGAGTCGCTGCTTTATTTTTTATTTTTTTTAATATATTTTATTGATTTTTTACAGAGAGGAGGAGAGAGGGATAGAGAACTAGAAACGTCAATGAGAGAGAAACATCGACCAGCTGCCTCTTGCACACCCCTTACTGGGGATGTGCCCGCAACCAATGTACATGCCCCGCAACCAATGTACATGACCAGAATCAAACCTGGGACCTTTCAGTCCGCAAACCTACACTCTACCACTGAGCTAAACCAGCTTCGGCAAGAGAGAGTTGCTGCTTTAGATGAAGCCCCTCCAGTGCCCTCTCTGAGCTTTAGTTTCCTATTCTGTGAAATGGGGCTACTCCCCATCTCATATGGCTGTCCTAAGGAGGAAATAAGAGGTCGGGTGTGGAGTAGCCTAGCCCAGAGGAGCTCCTGGCCCATACAGTGGTTGAGTCAATGTTTCAGTATCTATAACACACTGATTCTTGTGTATGTCCAGCCCCATGCTAGGGACTGGGTGCACAGAGGTTACTGAGACTCAGTCCTTGTTCTTAGGGAGTTCACAATCTGAAAGACTAAAAGAATATTTTGCCTAACCGTACACTGTAACTCTCCTGAAATCAAATAATTACCTTAAAAAAATTTAATCCTTACCTGAGGATATGTCTTTCTTGATTTTAGAGATAGAGGGAGAGGGAGAGGGAGAGAGAGAGAGCGAGCGAGCGAGCGAGAGCGAGATTGGTTGCCTCCCATATGCACCCCAACTGGGCATAGAACCCCCACCTAGTTATGTGCTCTGACCAGGAATTGAAACTGCAACCTTTGCTTCAAATGACTGAGCCACCAGGCCAGAGCTAAATAATTTGCTTTTAAACACAAAGTGCAGATTGCTCTGCTTGAGACTGGGTAAGGCATTCACAGCCTGTGTCAGTTGAGGCCAGAGTGCCCAAGTACTTGATAAAGACCTTGGGTTGTTAAGAGGGAGATGTTAACTGTGCACATTGGGTGCTGGGGCCTGTGGGTGGGTGGGTGGGTGAAATACATGAAAACCAGTCTCCTCCCTCTTGGTGCTTCTGGTCCAGCAGGGGGCGACCACACACTCAGAGTGCTGTCCTCAAGCCTGATGATGGTGAAAGGCATTGAACCATCAAGCACTCTGGGAGGTGGGGGAGGATGTGTGTGGAATGTTAGGACAGGCTTCCTGGGGGGAGTAGCATTCAGTTACTTCCTGTGAAACTGTAAACACCTGTTTGTACATCATCATTACATCAGGAAGTTGCATTTTCTCCTGTCTCTCCTGCTGTGCTCCTCAAGCTTCAGTTCTCCCCAATTTGTGGGCGTGTGTGTTTGTGTGGAGATGTCTATCAGTGGCAGTGGGAAGGGAGGGAGGTTATGAGAAATAGGTGCCACTTGGAAATCCCCCACCCCAAACCCTGCCTCTTGTCTTTTTCCCATCCCTACCAAAGGTCACCAAAATTTTCCAGAAGAAGAAGATCTTGGTGACGTACAGCTTCCGTCAGTCTTTTCCCCTCGTGGAAATGCACATGCAGCTCTTCCAGAATTCATGTGAGTCCCTCCTTGGATCCCATCATCCCAGAGTCTATGCCATGTCTCCTATGCTCATCCTTCATTCATTCCGACCTCCAGTTTGGGGAGTCCTTTATAACTGGGCTGAGGTCACCTACTTGGTTCTGGGATGTGGGGCTGGCCAAGGTGGAATATGACTTGGGTCTGTGCCCTGGGGAGCTCATGGTCCACAGGGTGTATGTGTTCTGGGGGGCTGAGGAGATGGCGATAATGCTGCACTTTGAGCCAGAGGAACTTCATTGGGTGGCTTTCTTGACAGAAGAAACAATGTAGGTAGAGGCAGAGGAACAAAGGAAGGATTCTAGAGGGCAGCTAGAGTTCAGTTTGCCCTTACATCCCAGAGTAGAGGGAGGAACATGGCCGTGACTCCCAGGAGGCTCTTGGGGACTTTGGGGACCAAGGGGAGCCAGTGAAGATGCTTGAGCAGAGAAGAGGCTCAATCAGAGTTGGACATTAGAAATATCATTTTGCATATTTGATATTGCAATCGAGCCATCTTGCTTCAGTCTTGACAGAGGGGCCCCATTTCCCCTTGCCCCGCAGATTACCAGTTTGGAATCAAGTTGCTGTCTGCAGTACCTGGTGGGGAGCGAAAAGTCCTCATCATTTTCAACGCCCCCAGCCTTCAGGATAGGCTGCGCTTTACATCTGACCTGCGTGAGTCCATCGCTGAGGTGCAGGAGATGGAGAAATACCGCGTGGAGTGTGAGTAGCCCCGCCATGTCACCTATCTCCCATCCTGATATGGTGCCCTGTCGACACCAAGCATCCTGTCCTCTGAAAAATCTCAGGATTGAGGGTTAGCTTGCCTAACCTTCCTACCCTCATTCCAGGAATCCTTCAGCCTCTGCTTGGATACCTTCAGTGACAAGGGGCTCATTATCTGTCAAGCTCTGATTATATTACAAGCTCTAATTATCAACTCTTCTTTCTAATGAAAGGCATCGGGGGAAGAATCAGGTTATTAGAGGCAGGACACTAGTTTCACATCCCAGGTATGCTACTTATTATCTGGGTAAGCTGGAGCAAATCCTTTGACTCTCTGAGTCCCAATTTCTTCCTACGTGAATTGGGATAATGAGCAGAGTAGGGGAGATTCAATGAGATAAAATTTGACGTAGTGTCCTCCGCGCTAGTAGGACACTAGTGTTGAACATCCTAGGTGACCAGCCAATGGTAGTCTCCTTCCCAGCCTTTCCTCTCCTGTCCTCACATGCTAGTTCCTCAGCTGAGTCCCATTGTCCCATCCCCCAAGCCCCAGCGACCACACCAAATCATTTTGATTGTATATAATGGGAAATAGTGATTGCATCTCATTCTTCTCAATGCCGCCCAAGCTTTTCTTTTTCTCTTCCAGACTAAGCAGTTAGTTAAGTAACATGGTGTTAAGGAGAGAGAGAGAGAGATAGAGAGAGAGAGAGAGAGAGAGAGAGAGAGAGAGAGAGAGAGAGAGAGAGAGAGAGAAACATTGATGTAGAGAAAGAAACATTGATTAATTGCCTCCCATACGCACCCTGACTGGGGATAGAACACACAACCTAGGTATATGCCCAGATCCTTGAGACCCCGGGACATTCAGGGAGAGGGATGCTTGTACCAAGATGAGGTGAGGGGATAGAAGGCTACATGACCTCCGCGGGGGGCAGGGGTATAAGGAGGCCGAAGTGCACAGGCTCTGGACTCAGGCAGACCTGCTTCCAGAATGTTGGCTCCTCCGTTTCCAGCTGTATGACCCTGGGCAAGCTCTGAGGCTACTCAGATTCTCAGTTTCTTCCTCTGAAACTGTGGATGATAACATTTCCCTTGGAACTCTTGTGAGGATTGAGAGAGATGAGGGACATGTGTGGGGGCACACTAAGGCACGATTCCTGTCCCATTTCCTGCCCCCATCCTTCCAGAACCCTCTGTAATGTATCTGAGAACTGAGTGGACTCTGGAACGGTTGCCCTTTGCCAACATCTAGAAAGGCCTTTGTGCCCCTCTTGAGAACCAGCCATTGGGAAGCTCTGTTTGGAAGGGCAAGGCTGGTTTAGGAGACCAAACTGAGAGTGGGCAGGGGCAAGGAAAAGCAGGAAGGGCAAGAGAAGGAGGAGGAAGGGAAGACCAAGCCAGAGGAGACCGCGCAAGACAGGACTGGAGACTGAGTGCTGCAAGGGGCTTGGGAGATGGAGCTGAGGGTTGTGGGGCCGCGATGGAGGTCCAAGGGGCAAAGCAGGAGCACAGAGAGGGCCGGGGGGGGAGGTCAGGTGGCCTCTCCTTCCTGTTGCTGACGTTGGATTGCTGTGTCCCCCCTGCCACCCAGCGGAACTGGAGAAGCAGAAAGGTATGATGCGGCCTAACGCCTCACAGCCCGGCGGGGCCAAGGACTCCGTGAACGGCACGCTGGCCCGCAGCAGCCTGGAGGACACCTATGGCGCAGGCGATGGGCTCAAGCGGGGCGCACTCAGCAGTTCCCTGCGAGACCTCTCAGACGCAGGCAAGTGTCCCGGGGCCCTGGCCTGGCTGGGGAGCCGCGGGACCCAGAGTCCCCTTTGCCTCCTTTCACTGACCGCCAGCCTTGCCTGCACCCGCCACACATGCACGCCCCCTGCCTCCATCCAGAGCCCTGGGTGCTGCACTGCAGGGGGCTCCAGGGCCCGGGGGCCTGGGGGCCAGGTCAGAGCAGGTGGAGCCCAGGATTCGGGCCAGGGCATGTGAAGCGGGGCCACAGTCTTAGCCCCTCTCTGCTGCTCCACCTCTCCTCCTCTCTCTCCTCTTCTCTTTCTCTGGCACCACCTCTCCTCCTCCTCCATGTCTTCCTCCTCCTGCTCCTCCTTCTCCTCCTCTCCTCTTCCCCACCCCACCCCTCTTCAACAGGGGAAAGGGACTAGGGGTGTCTGTCCCCGGGAGGGGCCCAGGCCCGGTGTCCAGCTCAGGAGCCCAGCAGGGTGGGGAGGGGGGGTTGCCACTCTGACGCTGGGCTCCTTGCTTGTGGGTGCAGGGAAGCGGGGGCGGCGTAACAGCGTGGGATCGCTGGACAGCACCATCGAAGTAAGTGCCAGCTCCCGCCCGACTCGTCCTCTGCATGAGCCCTGCCCCGCGTGCACCCCTGCACCCCGGAGGAGGAGGGGCCCTGTTGCTCCCCCTTCCCTGCTGGGAACCCTGCGGCTGCCTCTCCCAGCCAGCCACTCTCTCCATCTGTCCTCAGCTTTGTCTGTCCTCACTCTGCCTGTCTCTCAGTCTGTCTCCCGCTCTCCCGGGCCCCCCTCTCCACCTCTGGGCCGCCTCTAGCGAGGCCCTCAAGTCCTGCTTTTGGAGCCTGAGCCAGTGTCTGTCTCTCTGGGCCTAACCTTGTCTCCGCCTGCAAAAGGGGGGTGAGATGGGGGGCCGCTCACTGCTCACTCCCTCTCCCAGCGGAGGCTCAGAGGAGAGAGTGGATGTGATGCACCGACAGGGCCGCTGCAGGCAACCAGGACAGGACTGTCATGTGATCGCTTCCCATGATGCTGCGGGGCTTCCTGTCTCCCCAGCTCCAGCCCTCAGGGCCCAGGGGAACATTAGGGTTGGGGATTGAGGGCATCTAGGCTGGCCTGACTCGCCCCCCTCCCCCTTCCAGGGGTCCGTTATTAGCAGTCCGCGCCCTCACCAGAGGATGCCACCTCCGCCCCCACCCCCGCCGCCAGAGGAGTACAAGAGCCAGAGACCGGTCTCCAACTCCTCATCCTTCCTGGGCTCCCTCTTTGGAAGCAAGCGGGGCAAGGGGCCCTTCCAGATGCCGCCGCCGCCAACAGGCCAGGCCTCTGCCTCCTCTTCATCTGCTTCTTCCACCCACCACCACCACCACCACCACCACCATGGCCACAGCCACGGGAGCCTGGGGGTGCTGCCCGATGGGCAGTCCAAGCTCCAGGCCCTGCATGCCCAGTATTGCCAAGGACCAGGCCCCGCCCCGCCGCCCTACCTTCCTCCCCAGCAGCCCCCTCTGCCCCCTCCTCCTCAGCAGCCCCCACCCCTGCCTCAACTGGGCTCCATCCCGCCACCTCCCGCCTCAGCCCCGCCAGTGGGGCCGCATCGCCATTTCCACGCCCACGGCCCAGTCCCAGGCCCCCAGCACTACACGTTGGGCCGGCCAGGCAGAGCTCCCAGGCGAGGCGCTGGAGGACACCCCCAGTTCGCTCCCCATGGCCGCCACCCCCTGCACCAGCCCACGTCTCCGTTGCCCCTGTACAGTCCTGCCCCCCAGCACCCGCCAGCCCACAAGCAGGGCCCCAAGCACTTCATCTTCAGCCACCACCCACAGATGATGCCAGCAGCAGGGGCCTCCGGGGGCCCCGGATCCCGGCAGCCAGGGGGCTCCTACTCCCACCCGCACCACCCGCAGTCGCCATTGTCACCACACTCGCCCATCCCACCGCATCCCTCCTACCCACCCCTGCCCCCTCCTTCCCCCCACACCCCGCACTCACCCCTGCCGCCCACCTCACCCCATGGCCCCCTGCACGCCTCTGGGCCCCCTGGCACCGCCAGCCAACCCTCTGCAAACCCTAAGGCCAAACCAAGTCGGATCAGCACCGTGGTCTGATGCATGGAGAGAGGGAACTGGGGCCCAGGGAGGGCCGGGGAATCCACAGGAGAGGGGCCTTGCACCCTCTCTGCTCCCCCAGTTTTTCTAAAATACACCAACACACAGAAATGTCCTCCTCCCCACTTCCTCCCCGCCTTGGGACCCCTCCTCTAACCCCCAACGGTCGCCATGGAGTGTCCTTCCGGATTCGAGGATCTTGGCCTCTTGAAGCCTGGACGTAGCTTGAGCTCTGGGGAGTGTTGAGGAACCTTTGGAGATCCTCGTCCTCCTTTTCCTCTCCTCGTCCTCCCTCCTCCCCCAGGTCTAGCTGGGTGACCTCACCCCTCCCCACCAGTGTGAGCTTCCTGGCTGGGAGGGAGGGCCAGGTGTCGGGTTCAGAGGGAGCTCTGTAGAGTCGGGGCCAAACTTCGGTGCTTGGCCCCCTCTCTGACCTCAGGGCCTGGCTCCACATTTCCATGTGACTCCGCCCGCCCTCCCGGAGGACATGGACTGTCCGCACACTAGGGGGGGGTGGGCCCCCGATGCTGCCCCCCGCCCGACGGGGCAGTGCTTCCTGTCCAGAGCCAGTCTGTGCCCCAGCCCAGACTCAGCTTCAGGACCTTGCAACGTTCTTCTCCTGATCAAAGTCCAGACAGGTTGGGCGGGGGGCTCAGGTCTGGGATGAGAAGGGCGCCGCCCTCCCTCACCCACATTGCATGCCCCCCCATTCCCTCACACCTCTCCCACCTACAGCCGAAGACAGTGCACTTTACAGATATGACCCACACACACCTCGCTGGGACGGAGCGCCTAGCATCAGCCCTGGGGAGAGGCTCCCAGAGGGCCACCATGAGCCCAAGATGTCCCTCCTGAGGCAGAGATGGAAGCCATCAGAGTGGGGGCTGGGAGCCAGGATGCCCGAGTCCTGTCCATCAAAGTCCTCTGCTGCCTCTCCAGCTCCTTTCCAGCCCTGTTTATTTATTATAAATATATTTTTTACAAACTCCAGCTCCTCTTCTTGCCCTGCAGACCCAGCTCCTTTCACAGCCCCTCCCTTGCCCCCACCCCCTCTCCACCATGGGCTACAGTAGACAGACAGGCCTGGCTGGCTGAAGGGCCAGGGACCGTGGAGCCTGGGGCCAGGGGAGGGCAGCAGCGGGAGGGGCTGTATGGACAGGAGCTGGGGTTTAGGCATTGTCTTTTTTCCTCCTTGTATATAAGAATGTATATTTGATGCCTCATAAAAGACCTTGTGCTCACCTCCCGCCTCTGCCTCCTCCTTACGCCCCCTCCCCCACGGTGCAGCCCAGGAGAGAGAGGCCTTAGCCTGGGTGGGGTGCTTCCACTGGGTGGGCGGTGGGGTTAGGGAGGTTTTCCTATATCATTAACAGTCTGTGTGAGTAGCAAGACTCTGGGCCGTGGAGTTGATCTGGTTCAAATGCTGGGGGGGTTCCTTGCTGGGTATGTGCTCTTGGGAAAGATACCCTCTCTGAATGGTTGTCTCAGTTAAAAACTTGGGGTGATGTAACACAGAAGTAACAGATGTCAAGCATGGAGCTCAGCAAGCGAGTTCCCATCTCTTCCGTTCCCAGGCTGGGTACTTCCTTCTCTTGTGGCATCTGTACTAGCCCTTCCTGTGGCTGGTCTGGCTTTGCCCTGGATCCTCCCCGCTCCCCGCAGCTGCTTACATTTCTGTTCTGGAGGGGGGTAGGGACTTGGGCCAGGAAGCCAGGCGCTAGACGCATTAGAAGAGCTGTGTATATACTTAGGATGTGAGATAACAAATAGCAGGACTCCCTTTAGTTTACAGAAGAGGAGACAGGCTCAGGCAAGCAAAGGATATTTCCCAAGGCTATAAAACAGTCCCCCAGACAGCCTCCCTATAAAATGGAGTCTCCAGCACCACTCCTGGCCTCAGCAGAGCTCAGGAAGAATGGGGTTAGCAGGCTCCCGGAAGCAGCAGTCAGGAAATATTTTTTGGTGCCTTTTTAGAGTCTGGAATGGCCTTTAAGAAGGCCTGATTTGGATGGACACACACACACACACACACACTCTGAGTGGCCAGATTATTATGATTTCTGAACGCATAATAATCTGGCCATTAAGTGTGTGTGTGTGTGTGTGTGTGTGTGTGTGTACACATACATACATACATTAGAGGCCCGGTGCATGAATTTGTGCATGGATGTGGTCCAGCCACCCTGGCCAGGGGGAGGGGACATAGGTGGTTGGCTGGCCTGCCTGCTGGTGGAACTCCTGGTAGAGGGGACAATTTGCATATTAGCCTTTTATTCTATAGGATATACATTGAGTGGCCAGATTAAATAATCTGGCCACTCAGTGTATATGTTTTTATTGGTTTCGGGGAGAGGGAGAGAGGGAGAGAGGGATATAAACATCCATGAGAGAATCATCAAACAGCTGCCTCCTGCAACCCCCCACTGGGGATCAAGTCTGGAAATGTGCCCTGACTGGGAATCCAACTATGTCCTCCTGGTTCATGAGTTAACGCTCAACCACTGAACAGTACCTGCTGGGCTACCCTTTAGCATCTTGAATCAATGTGTTCTTCCTCATATGCACATTTAAGCAAAACCTGTAGCTAGGACCATTTAAGCATTTGATGCTTCCCGGAGGACCAGACCTAAGCTTTTGAAGAGTTTAGACCCGAAGGGTCAGGAATTAAGTCCAACCAGCACTTTTTTGTTTCTTTCCTGGTAGACCAAGCTGCACTGCCTTTGGTCATGCCTCTCTTCTCCTACCTTCAGTTTCGTGCTGGTTTTGCCTTCCCAAAGCTCAGTTTTAGCACCCAAATCCTGGCTCAGTCGCAGGCTTGACTGTTGCGTTTGGCAAGTCACCTACCCAGACACTCAAAACTTGGTGTTTCCCCTGTCACATAGGGACAATAATTTTTCAGAGCAATTGTTAATAGATGCATGTGAAGTGCCCACCTCCTGCCAGACACACAGTAAGCTGTTTTTGACCACCTACAGAAAGAAGTGTAAACTTGTCTTGATGTTGGAGGTTCTCCATCATGTGGCCCCGGCCCATCTCTGGAGTCCTAACTCTCATTCCTTGCCCACATTGTGGATGGATATCCACTCACTGCTCCCTGGAAAGGTCTGTAATTTCCAAACTCAGTACAGTTGGCCATTGAACAACACAGGTTTGAACTGCATGGGTCCATTTCTATGTGGATTTCTGATCTACAGTGGGTCAGCACCCTTACCCCTCTCCTTCACATTGTTCAAGGGTTAATTATACTTTACCTGTGCCTTTCCCCCTGACAGGCATGCTCTCCCCAACATCTCTGATGATGTTTTTCTCACTCCTTTAAGATGGGCTTAAGGGACCCCTCTCTCACAGAATGTGCCTTTGGTCACATCTTCTGAGATTCCTCAGATCATTATCTATCCCCCAAAAAAAACTATAAGTGGCTCAGGAGTGACACTGATTTGAATGATCTCTGTCCAGAGCATTGCCTAGCAAATGCTTGGTACAGCACAGATGACACTAAAATATGGTTAATTTGAATGACTAGTTCTTTCTATGCTAAATATTAGAGTAAGTTGTCTTTGGTTGAGTTATTGATGGATGTTCCTGTGCCCCAAGCTTTGGGGCCCCTTTGGAACATCCTCCTGTTTCCTTCAGCTCTTTCTGATGTTCTCCTCCTCCCCTCCTCATTATAGTCCCAACACTGGGCTGTCCCTGCCCCTTCTTCACACTCTCCCCTGGAGGCTTACCAATCAGAGTGTGGAGGGGTAGTTCAGCTCCTCTGAAGAGTTCTACTGCCAGTCTCTTTAGGGATGTGAATGGGGAGGGACAACACATAACAAAGGACAAAGGTCCTAGAATCTCACAGAGTTCTTACCTTTGTCCTAGACCAGTGCTGTCCAATAGGTCTTTCTGTGATGGTGGAAATACCCTTTAACTGTCCAATACAGTAACCCCTAGCCACATGTGGCTACTTAAAATGTGGCTAGTACCACTGAGGAATCAAATTTTTACATTTAAATTTAAATAGCCACATGTGGGTAGTGGCTACCATACGGGGACAGTGCGGGACAAGACCTTGAGGAGTGGATACCCCAGTGGGGCTATGTCAATACAATATAATAAATACGGGCCCAGACGTGAGCACAGCATGCACAAGGGCACAAAGAAGGGGAAAACCCAACTTTGGGTGGGGTAAGGTGGGTGAGGAAAGTGTTTCTGGAACCGCCCCTTTCAATGAATTTTGAAGGAGGAGTAGGAATTGGCCTGGGAAAAAAGAGCATTTGTCAGAGGGATCAGCATATGAAAAGGCATGGAAGTGTGGGAATCTACAATGTTATCAGTGCAATAAGGAGAAAGGAACAGGAGAGGGCAGGTCAGGGGATGAAGGCACAGAGGTGAGCAGTCCATGTATCTTCATTCCTCTGTTTCCACAGGTTTTCTCACCTGGAGCCTCAGTAGGAGCTAAAGTAAGATCAAGGAATACATTGGGCCACATAGTGTCTCCAAGTCACCGTTTTCCCCTTTGTCATTGATGGGTGTCTGGTGGAGAGATGTATTAAAAACAATGTAAATACCCTATTACTCCTCAAACTTTCACCCACCAGCTTCAGCATTCACGGATGATTCTCCAGGTAGCCACATAGTGATTTTCAAAAATTCTTTTAACTTGAATTAGTTGGCTTTCGACTGTAACAGAACGCTCCCCTCTTCTACATTGATTTATTTATAGCCACATGGACTCGTGGTTGCCTATTTTACTCAATGGGTTATATATAACCCATTACTGTCATTCTTTATTTTGATGCTCCTATGTCCCAGGTTTGGCCATCCAGAGGTGCTCCGAGCTGGTGCCTGTGTCCTTTTGGCAAGGCCTCCTCTTTCCTCGAACACTTGCTGTTTTCTGGCACCAGAAGATGTTCCAGGCCCGCTTTGTACTTGCCCTGCTCCAACCCTGGCATCAGTCATTTTTTTCCAAGAAGTCCTGGTTCTTTGGATTAAGAATGGCACTTAGGAACCAATATTTGGGCACTAGGTATTATAGCCGCTTTAAGAGTTGGCTTTTTTTTATTTGAAAAAGTTTGAGCATCTATTGATGATTTTTTCACTCCATCATTCTTTAAGAAAGAGTTTTCCCTCATTTTTATGTATTTATATCAGTGTGGAGTTATGGATTTTTATTTTATTCAATGAGTTATGACCTACTATTATAATTCATTTAAAATTGTCATGTTAAATGTATATTTTATTGCGTTATGTATGTATTACGCACATAATATACATCTCTGCATATATATATATATACATATATATATATGGAGAGAAAGAGAGAGAGTTTATATATAGATATATGAGTTCACACAGACACCTTGATAAGCTTGAGGAGGCTCTTTTAATATAGGCTAGAGATAGTAAATGGCTCTCACAGGGGTAGACGATAAGAAAATGACATGGCGGGATGGGATGGATTCCAGAACTCTTTTTAGAGTCAGAACTCACAGCTGACACCTACTTCAGAAGTGGAAGCGACCTTATTTTACAACTCAAAAAAGAAAGGCACAACATCACACTCATCCAGTTCATCAGAAAACATGGAAAGAGTGAGTGTGGTCAAGAGCCCACCGATCCTTCTAATCACAGGTCCTCTCGGGGGGTTCAATGTTTCTGGGATATGATTCTTCATCTACAAAATGGATAAATTGACATATATTTCCCAAGACCGTTGCAAGGTGAGCTTCCCAGTTCCCATTCCATGAACACCATACTGTGAGTGTTGAATGGGGAGGGGGGCACCATCTAAGACTTTTACAGGCAGAATAGTATGGCAGTTAGACTTCGGTTTGAATTCAGGCTCTGCCACTTACTAGCCATGTGACTTGGGTACGTTTATACTTCCCAGAGCTTCAGTCTCCTCATCAGTAAAACACAGATAGCAACACCTATTTCATAGCACCTGACCCTTGATGAATGGCAGTCATCATTATCTCTAATCTTCATAACTACCCTGTGATGAGGGAATTATAGCCCCTCGTTGGATAAATACGAAAGTCAAGGCTCAGGGAGGTGAGGTACTTGGCAGGTCTCAGTGGGTAATTATCAGCTTCAGGAAAGCAGGGACCATGACTGCCCTGGCCACCATTATATTTTCAGGGCCCAGAAAAATGCCTGGTGCATGGTAGGAATTTAATAAGTATTTATGAATGAATGAACTGGATCAAACCTGGTTTTCCAACTCCTGATTGATGCTCTTTGTCCTTCACTGAGCTGCCTCCAGATGAAAAGGCTGAACTTCCTTCAGCCTAGGATTTAGCATATTCTCCTACCTTCTTCATTCTCTTCACCTTTCTCTTGCCCGGTTCTATTTCTAGTGAGAGCAAATGACAGGAAGAGCATTTGACCAGGAGTCGACAACTTCCTGTGCAACAGTGGGCAAATTGTTCAATCTTTCTGGAACATGGTTCCTCATCTACAAAATGGGTCAACTGATGTAGATCTTCCCCAAGACTGTTGCAAAGATTAAGGGAAATAATTGATATGAAAGAGCTATGTGGGCTGTTCGATGTTTACACATAGGAGAGGCTAATGATTTTGCTGTTATTAGCATCATTTCCCCTATTTCTCATCCAGACAGTTGTTCATTTGGGTCCTTCACCTGGAGGAAAGGGGCTGAGGTTTCTCTTGACACCTAGAAAACTAGAAATATGTCACTTACTATTTGTATGACGGACAACTCTCTTCACAAGCCAAGTGAGGATAAAGATTCTAAACACTCAAGGTAATATAAGGATTCAGGTGATAAATATATGAAATCACTAGGCACAGTGCCTGGAACAAAAGAAATTCTTAAAGAGATTTGACATATTGGTTGTTGACTTCCAGAAATAAAATTAAGTTAACACATACCAAGAGCCTTTCTACGTGCCAGGTACTGTACAATAGTTCTGAAAGGTAGGTATTGTAATCCTCATTTGGTTCACAAGTTAGGACTTGCCCGAGGTCACATAATTAGAAAATGGCAGAGCTGGTGGGACTAGAAGTGGTTGGCCTTGTCTGACCCCAGAGTGTGAGCTCCCACCAGTGTGCCTTACTCCTGCAAATAAGCTGTCCTGAGCTCAATCCTGAAGCAGGCAGAATGATGTGCATAACTGGGACGTGGTATGTGATTATGAACAATTAACTCAGTGAAGGGAATGACACCCCCTTCAAACATATTCAACCGTATAGCAGATGCTTAGCACAGTATACACAAAATGTTTGCAAAGAGTTTATAAGATTGCTCAAAAATATATACTCATTTTTCTTTCGTTTAATCAACATTAATTTATTGCTTACCATGGCAAGTGTTAAGAATGTATAAGGCAACATTGTCCCTTGCCTTAAGGAGTTGAGTCTGATTGGAGGACAAAATAAGCACTTAATTACCATGTATACAAGTACTCTGATATGTGCACAGCAGATGTTCAAACTGTATGCAGCAGGCCCACAACTGTTGGATAACAAAGATGATCCTCAAATGCAGTAGATCAGTAGATGCCTTCGTATGGGCAAAGCACTCATTTGAAGTAGTTACAATAAACCTATTCAGAAACTGCTCCATGAACATGTACATAATAGGAGATGTACATACACTAGGTACTCAAATGCATACGACAGGGGCTATACACCATAAATACGATACAATCCATGTACGCAGATTTTTGTAAGTCCACTGTAGGCTCACAAATGCACAGTGTTTCATATGAGAGGGGCTGATAGGGGATAAATATGCTGTTGCTAAATATCCAAGTCAAAATATAAACAGGCTTATTTTGTAGGCGTAAGCACATACCACACGTGTGCGCACAATAAAAGAGCATACAGAACAGTGGAAAGTGTTCATTAAAATGCTGACAATGACTCAAGGTGGGGGATAAGAATGGAAGCCCCATCTTGGAGAGGACTCTATGCATAACCTTGGATGAAATAAATATTTCCTTCCTTCCATTGGTTCTCGGGAGCCTAAAAATCCATAACCCCTAGGGAGTGAGCAGCCTCCTGCCTGCCTTCCTTCTAAGCTCGAGGTATCAGTACCTACAGCTGGGGGCTCCTTACACCTTGCCCCAAACTGCAGACTAGCAAAAGGGGTCGCTCGCTATGGCTCACACGTATAGACCAAGGAGGATAGAATGTTGGGGCGGGGCTCCCTCCAGGGCTGAGGTCATCGAAGGAGGGGGTGTAAGTTTCAGCCTACCGCCCACCAACCCCTGCTCCTCTTCCGGTCTGTCCTCATACCGCGCATGCGCACCACTGGCCTTTAAACGTGCACCGCTGGTCCATCCGGAAAAAGGATCCGGCAATTAATTACAATCGTGCTCCTCCGCCGCTGGGAAGAACTATTTGATCTCAGTCTGGGAGCTACTTTTGAGTTGCCGCTTCCAACTAGGGAGCCCACGCCCGCCGATCCTGCTTGGTCCTCACGGGCTGAAGGCTTCCCAGGGCTTGGCCTCACCCCAGACATACGGGGCTCGGAGGGACACCCCGCGGAGGGATCCGGTTTGTTGTGGTGTGGGAAGGGGGGAGGACGCTGACAAACCAAGATGGCGGCGGCGGCGGCGAAGGCCGCGGCGGCTGGGAGGTAACTGAGGTGGCGAAGGCTGCGGGAGTTGGGGGGCAGCAGCAGAGTTTGGGGGGAACGGAGCCGCACTGAGAGGCGGCGGCAGGAGGGCTGGTCTTTGCCTCTCGGAGCGCCGCACTCAACACGCCCCCTCGGCCCCCGGCGGGCGGCGGCTGCCCCGCTTAGGGCCTAGTCTCCGAGCCGTGCCTCGGTTTCCATCAGCCGCATCCGCCATGAGTCCTTAAGGGCCGCCCGAGCGCCCCCAGTCCTAGGGTCCGCCATGGAGCCGGGGTCTGACGACTTCCTCCCGCCGCCGGAGTGCCCGGTGTTCGAACCTAGCTGGGCCGAGTTCCGAGACCCTTTGGGCTACATCGCGAAAATCAGGCCCATCGCCGAGAAGTCCGGCATCTGCAAGATCCGCCCACCCGCGGTAAGGCTCGGGGTCGGGGGGCCCCCGGCGGCGTGGCCGGGGATGAGAAACTAGGGTAGGCGGCGGGGGAGTCTTGGGGCGCGGGGCAGCCGGAGCCGTGGAGAAATGGGGTGGCTGGGACCGGGGTGGATGCGGCGCGGGGGGGCAGAAAGGATGCCGGGGCCAGGGGTCCTCGTGATGGGAGCCCCCCCTCCCCCCTGTGACCTGGGCCCAGAAACCCACACCCACTCCCGGCTCGCCTTTTCGGGATCACCCTGGTCAGGGGCCAGGCAGGGATGCCGAGGCGGCCGGGAGGGTTCTCGGGGAGGCACACGCATATCTTTACGTTGCCCCGGACCACCCAGGCCAAGGCTGCTCGGAATGAGGCCTTCCTGCCGTCTACTGTCATCACTTCTCCACGGGCAGGCCGTGTGTCGTAGCGGGAAGATGGCAGGTCTGAAAGGAGGCAGCCCCAAGTTCAAAGCCCCCCTCCGCAGCTTCCCAGCTGTGTGACCTTGGCCAAGTAACATAATCTCCCCAGGCCTGGGAAAGGAGGCCGATGAGTCGTTATTTCAGAAATTCAATTAAACTAGATAGCGTCTCTGAGTGGTAGGCACTACCCAAGTGGTAATTACTGCGCCTGCGAAGGTGTTTGATGTAGCCATTGGTTTGCTCCTGTGTGAGTTGACTCATGTGCTCACACACCCAGCCAGGCAAAGCCATCCGTGATCATACCCCAGCCTGGTAGTCCAGGCAGGTATCGGCCTCCTGGGGGGTGCTCTGGCTGGCTCCCCTGAGGTGGATTCAGGGAATCGTCGCCTTCTCCTAGTTGACAACACCATCCGGGCCTTTCCTGCACGTCACCCCTCCCCGTACGTGACTTCTATGGCGAGGCTTGGACCAGTCGGCTTGGGGGTGGGGTATGGGTCCCTCTCAGAGGGTTTCTACTCTGCTGTGTCCCAGGATGCGAGAGGCCCCAGAGGATAGGGTATTCTTGGACACTCGCACCCAGAATGGAGCGATGGAAGCCTGCCCCCTTTGGAACATTTGATTCCCAGAGGTCAGCGACAAAGGGCATATCTTTGCTCCTGGGCCTGGCTTCAGGCCAGGAGAAGGCCCCCGAGGGCCGGGCTCGTCCGACATGGAGGAGAAATGACGATGTGTGTGTTCAGTCACCCCCTCGGGATCCTGAGGGCAGGCATGGAGCTGGTCTGGAATCGGGTGTTTTTGAGTAGGTGTCTCGGGCTGAGACGGGTTGGGAAGTCGCGCTGCCACCTGAGGAGGGCCCCACAGGCTTCCTTATTCAGCTCGGCGTTTTCTGGTGCGCTGCCACAGATCTAGGCTGGTTTCAAATGGATCCTCTGGGAGGTGTTGGGTAAACGCATTTCTTCCTTGTTGGAGCCGGGCCACAGATCTCTAAGGTATCCTTGTCCGTGGCGAGGGAGTGGCCACGAGGAGGGAAAGGTCAGGGAGGCTAGCAGAAAGGAGAAGCGGGAGTGCTGGGCAGCCTCGAGAGGGAATGTCTGACGCAGGGAGTAGCTGAGGCCTGAATTTCCATTTTTCTGACTTGGATTGATCTGGGCAGCCTGGCCTTGAGCATGAGTTGTTATCCTTCCTTGGGGGGGCACGGGGGAGAGTAGGAAAGGGGAAAGTGACCTGTCCCTAGTGTGTGTGTGTAACATGGAGGTGTCCTTTGTCATGTTTCTCTCCTGCACCTCCGCAGTGTGCTTCTCTCCAATCCTAGAGACCCGACTCTCTGGTTTTGTTTGTTTATTTGTTTATTGGTTTTTGTTTCCCTTCCCCTAGGGCTGTCTTTCCTTCTCCTAGGCTATCTTTAGGCAGCCAAGCCTTCTGGCTGGAATTTGAAGCACTCACTCCAGTGGTGCTTGGGCCCTGGGTGGGAACCTGTGTGCGGGTGGGCGGGCTCTGGGAAGGGAAGGTTTGCCTGGGGAGGGGTGATCTGGGCTCTGAATTGCTAGACAGGCAGCCACTGCTTTGGGGGAAGATGGGGTGGAGGAGAGTGTGGGTACCCAGGGGAGCTTGAAAGGGCATTGCTGATTGCATCGGGGAGCCAGCCCTTTTAGCGCCATCCTGATGATGACACTGACATACGGGTGCTTGGCATACGGGAGTGTGGGGCTGACGGCAGAGCTGGGGAGCTAGCTCTTAGGTCCCAGGCAAAGCCAGGCAGAGAGGCTTGCTGGGCCTCCCCCACAGCTCCTGCTCTAGAATTTCGGTTCTGCCATTTCCTGTCAGCTTGCTTGGTGGTGCTTTTTCTTATCTAGAACTCACTCCGCAGGAAGAAGGGTGCCTGGAAGGGGGGCTCTCAGCGCCTTGCTACCTGGGCGACCTCCGTGGAGGGGAATGCCCTGCTGATGGGAAGCGCGAGGGCATGGGAGTTTATCTGGGCTTGAGCCCTAACATTTTAGCCTCTCTTTAAATTTTATTTAGTTATTTTTTTGCCCCTGCTTTACTGAGCCCCAGTGTTTGCTGCCTGCTTGGGGAGTTGGGGAGAGTATGTGTGGATGCAAGTAGGAGGCCCCTGACCCCTTTTCTGTTCTTTTACTGTCCCTGTCCCCACTTCCATATGTAGGCATGTGTATATGAGTGCTGGTAGGCTGGTGGAGTGCAAAGGTCCTTGGACTGGCAGTCAGAAGACACGGGTTCTAGTCTTGCTTCTACCACAAACGCAGCACGTGATTTTGGAGAAATCTCATTTCGTTGCCGTTCCTAAAAGGAGGGCATTGGTCTAGGCTCCTCCGGGTTCTTTTCACCACCCCAGCAGGAGCCAGGGCTTTGGGGAGGAGAGGACAGCATGGGAGGGCATGGGGAGAGGGTTCTCCGCAGCCATTTTTGGGGCAGGACACAGCAAGCCCCAACTTGGCAGGGCAGAGCCTTCCCCACTTTTATGATCTTTCTCTGGCTTCCCTTTGCCCTGACACCTCCCACACCCAGCCACCATAGTTGAGCATCCCTGTCCTGACACCCTCTCTCACCCCCGGGCTCCCTCCCCTGCCTCTGCCTGGACCCGGCAGGTGTTTGGTAGAGGACCCAAGGAACCTTCTAGGTGACTGAAGCACATTCTTGCTCCCTGTTCCTTGCAGTGCCTGTCTCAGGCCCTTGAAACCGAGAGAACAGACATTACAGCCCAGACCTTAAATCCTGCCCGAATCAGGGCCGATCTAATCAGGGCTGATCTAGCCTGCATGTGTCCCTGTGGCGGCGTCAGCCTTAGAGGTCACGTCGTCATGATGGCGCCTTTGAAGAACATTTCCATTTGAAAACCAGTTTAATTTGCCATATTGGTCTTGTGAGGAAGCTGGGGCAAGAGTTCACATTCCTGCCTTACAGATGGGAAAACATGTACAGGAAAGGAAAGTCCTATAGCTAGTAAGTAGGTGGAGCTGGAACATGAACCTACGTCTTCTGACTGCGAATCCTGTGTGCTTTCTAGTATTTTCAGACGGAGTGGCCTACAGCACGTGCGTAGGGGGTGAAGGGTTAATGTGGATATAGGGACAGTTTGGGGTCAACTGTTTGGGGCTCCATCTATTTCTTGAAATCCTAGCACACTATACTGTTAGCAGGGACTGGGAGAAGTTTCCCATGGCCTGTGCATGTATGTGCAAAGTATGAACTTTAGGGGCTACCAAGGCCCTGCTGTGAGTTGTGTGTGTGGTGTAGTGGGGTAGGTGTTTGCAGGTTCAAAGGTCTGGGAAGGTGCGAATGGGGTGTTGAGCTGCTTTCGGTGCCCTCTGGTCTTGTTGGAATAACCCAACTCCCTTTCCCCCTTGTGCCCCCCTCAGGACTGGCAGCCGCCCTTTGCGGTAGAAGTGGACAACTTCAGATTCACTCCCCGCATCCAGAGGCTGAATGAACTAGAGGTGAGTGGGGTTGGCAGAAGGGATACCTGAGCTCTGCCCCTCTTCCCTCATGCCTCCTCTGGCTAAGATACGGCTTTTCTTTTCTCTCCTGGGAAGTTGCACGGCGGAAGCTTTAGTGCTTGGAATATAATCAAGAACATGGGCATTTCTGATCTGATGGCCCAAAGGCTGAGGATATCCCCCTTCTCATAAGGGTTTGCTACTTCCGAGTTCCCCTGCCAATCCCTTCCCCTACCTGGCTCAACAGAAGGGAAGTGTGGGGCTGGCTGAGACCCTTTCTGGCTTGGACAGCTGAAATGTGGTTTCGTTATCCAATCATTCACAGCCCCGTGCTTCATGCTCTCCTTCCATGGTGCTTGATGAGGCGGTGGGTGGGAACAACACAGAAACTTGTCTGTGTGGAGGCTAGAGTGGGTACAGATCGGGGCAGTGGGCCAGGCAGGTAGTCTTTTCCCTCTGTCTTTTGCTCTGTTCAGGAAGTCCAAGCCCTTTGCATGGTAGGTGAGGTTTTCCACTAAGGGCTTGAGACTGTTCAAAGATAAATGAGAATGGTTGCCCTGAAGCCAGTTCCAGGTAAGATCCTGGAGTCGCCCGTGGAGGACAGAGGTGAGAAATATGCTACCTCCCCTCTCCTCCTTTATTGTGTATCCATAGGCCTGATTAAATGTCCTGGGGAGTATTAGACCCAACTGAATACCCATGACCTAGACCCTGTTTTCTAGACCATGGTTCCTCAACCTTGGCTCTATTGACATTTTGGCCCAGATAACATTTTTTAAAAATATGTTTTTATTGATTTGAGAGAGAGAGAGAGTGAGAGAGAGAGAGAGAGAGAGAGAGAGAGAGAGAAACATCGATCGGCTGCTCCTGCACGCCTCCCTCCGGGGAATGAGCCTGTAACTCGGGCATGTGCCCTGAACAGTTGTCAGTTGTCAAACTACAACCTCCTGGTTTATAGATCGACACTCAACCATGCTGGCCGGGCATCTCCTGGTTCTTTAGGCCATTCTGTCTCTGGCGTGCACTCCGACCCTTAAGCTGCCATGGAACAAGTTTCATGGTGCATAAGAAAATGTCAGTTGCTCTTTCGGAGCCTTCATTCTCTGAACATGCCTGGAGCTTAGATGAAATTCTGGAGTTTCCAGAAGGCCTCATTGTTCCTCTCATAAGTCCATCGTTCTGGGGTGAATGGACTGGGCACTTATTTTATTCCCCTTTTAAAATTAGAAGATAGGGATCCAGAGAGTAAAATTGATTTGCTCAAGGCTGTTTAGCAAATTAGTAGCAAAGGAAAAGCTGAAGTTTTATTTGACATTTAGACCTCACTCTCTTAGTAAATATGACATTGCAGCATTAAGATTAAAGTAACATACAGCGTATTACTTTGATACATTTATATATTCCAATATGATTGCTGATGTAGCGGTATTTATCACATTACATATTGGAGCAGTGGTTCCCAACCTTTTTTTGGCCATGCCCCACCTAAACATCTCTCAAATCCTGATGCCTGCTCCCTCTCCCCTCCAGTGAACTCCTGCCCTGGCCACTTTGGCTCAGTGGATAGAGTGTTGGCCTGCAGACCAAAGGGTCCCAGGTTCAATTCTGGTCAAGGGCACATACCTTGGTTGCAGGCCCCTTCCTGGCCCAGGCCCTTGTTGGGGGCGCATGCAGGGAGCAACCAATCGATGTGTTTCTCTCACATGATGTTTCTCTCCATCTTTCCCTCTCCCACTCTCCCTAAAAAGCAATGGAAAAGTGAGGATTAACAACAACAGAAAACTCCTGTTCACATGGAGGAAGCCTAAAAGGCCATTAACTTGGTCTAAACAAGCTTCCAAAGAAATGGCATCCATGAAAGAGGAAAAGTAAAAGAACGAAAGGGTAGTCGAAGTACTGAGGAAGAAATCACTAAGAAATAGTTTAAAAAGAATAATATGAAATGATATGAAAAAATAGCAAATAAAGTTTCAAAACATAATAGAGAAGTGAAATGCATAAGTATATCTCCATATATATTTATACCAGAGGCCCATTTCACGAAGATTCACGTAATAGGCCTTCCTTCCTCTGGCTGCCAGCACCGGTGTTCCTCCTGGACCCAGACCTTGGCTCTGGCCACCGCCTTCTCGGAGTGCCGCTCCTATAGCGCCCTCCCCATCATAGCAGGCATCCTGTGCAGCCCGGCCACTCCATGCCTGCATGCATGCTGCCCAGAGGCCCGGAGTGGCAGGGCCACCGCCATGTTTGTCAGGTTAATTTGCATACTCCTGATTGGCTGGCGGCGTTGTGAAGTGATGGTCAATTTGCATATTTCTATTTTATTAGTGTAGATACTCTATATGAGGCCCCTAGAACCATAAGAAATGCAAAAAAATTCACTGTTAATAACTCATTCTCAAATTGCCCCCCCCCCCTTAAAAATCTCCATTGTGTCCCATGTTGGGAACCACTGTATTAGAGTGCTTTAGCATAATACTGGCATTACAATCTCTTGGTACCTGCTGTGTGATTTGAGGACACGGGTTCTCTGTAGAAGAGAGGATGCTACTCATCCAGCCCTGTCAAGGACATTGGGAAAGAGTGTATGTAAAGCTTTGGCTGACGTGACCCATCCCTCTCCGTTTTGGGACCTGGGGCTTAGCCTATTGACTAGAAGGTGGCAGAGATGAGAGAGTGGTGGGCTCACCAGTGCTTAGAGTTTGAGACCCACTGGACCCTGGGTAGTGGCTGCTCTGTCCCCTCCCTCCTCTAAGATGAGGCCAGAAGACAGGAGTCAAGTGAAGGGTCAGCCTCTTTGAGCCATTTCTTCTCCAGGCCCAGACGAGAGTGAAACTGAACTACTTGGACCAGATTGCCAAATTCTGGGAAATCCAGGGCTCCTCCTTGAAGATTCCCAATGTGGAACGGCGGATCTTGGACCTCTACAGCCTCAGCAAAGTAAGAACAGGTTTTTCTCAGACCCCCTCCTTACCCCACACCTCAATATCCTTGGTGTTCTGGGGACTCCCTTGGTTTGGATGTCGGATCTCTAGGCTGCAATGGAAGGGGCACAGCCTGGTAACACATAAGCTATCAGCAGAACTTCTGGGCACCTCTTGCCGCAATCTGAGTCTTTGTGGTGGTGGTAGGAGGAGGGGTAGCCCCCGACACCGTGAGGGGCTGGAGTTGTCCTCCTCGCCCTTCCTGCGGGCCTGCTCGCTCATGTACACACACACAGCACCTCCACGTCCCTCCCTGCTTGTCCCTGCAGATCGTGGTGGAGGAAGGTGGCTATGAAGCCATTTGCAAGGACCGTCGGTGGGCCCGGGTGGCCCAGCGCCTCAACTACCCACCAGGCAAAAACATTGGCTCCCTGCTACGCTCCCACTATGAACGCATCGTTTACCCCTATGAGATGTACCAGTCTGGAGCCAACCTGGTGGTAAGGATGCCAGGCCGGGGTGGAAGGAGGCTTCCCCCTCAGACACAGATTGTCACACTCGCTCTTAACGAAACTGGTTCAGTGGACTAGAGACCCGGAAGTTAGACTCCACTCTTTTCCAGCGGCGCCCGTTCTAGCCACACTGCCCAGGGTCAAGGTCCTGGAGTTATCCGCATGGCCAGCCTGCTCTCTGTTATGTGACAAGGTCTTAACAGATAACGGAATTCAGAGGAGGGAGAGATCTTTGGGGCTGGAGAGGTCTGGGCAGAGATGGAGTCTGATTTCGTTGGGAAGATGGTTGTGGGGAGGTGGCTAGAAGGAAGAACAGCATAAGCAAAGAATGAAAAGAATTCCCAGAGGGTAAGCTGGTGCCCGTGGTAAACACCAGCGGAGCAGGGCCTCGCACGCGGGTCAGGGAGCTGCAACCACAGCATTGGTTGCCACCCCGTGCCCTGACCTCTCCCCCTTCCTTCTCGCCAGCAGTGCAACACACGCCCATTTGATAATGAGGAGAAGGACAAAGAATACAAACCCCACAGCATCCCCCTGCGACAGTCTGTGCAGCCTTCCAAGTTCAACAGCTATGGCCGGCGGGCCAAGAGACTGCAGCCTGACGTGAGTACTTCCCTTCTGGTTAGGGCTCTGGAGCGGAGAGAGTCCTCTCCTTTCCCCTGGCCACGCCTCTGGTCCCTGTTCCACTGTCCCTTCTCTCACTTCTCCAGTTCTGAGCAGTCGTGTGTCCCTCTTTGAATTCACTCTTGCTTTTCCCTCCCTTCTCCGCTGAGCTTCTGAGTTGGGGCTCGATCTGTTCAGACAGTATCTTTCCTATTTCTGCCCTTCTTGGTTCTTTGCCTGAGTCACTCCGCTCATAGGGGCGGAGTTTCTTTCTCCTTATATCTGTATCCCAGCTCCAGGCTGAAGCTTATATGCCAGGTGTTCTTCTCGGCACTGGGAATACAACAAAGAACAAGAGACACTGTTCCTGGACTCACCAAGGCACATACTTTAGAATCATATTAGTCACTGCCATTTATTGGTAGTGCCAGACACATTAGATTTCTTTTCTTTTTTAATATATTTTATTGATTTTTACAGAGAGGAAGAGAGAGGGACAGAGAGCTAGAAACATCGATGAGAGAGAATTATCGATCAGCTGCCTCTTGCACACCCCCCACTGGGGATGTGCCCGCAACCAAGGTACATGCCCTTGACCGGAATCGATCCTGACACCTTTCAGTCCGCAGGCCGACGCTCTATCCACTGAGCCAAACCGGTTTCGGCTAGATTTCTTTCTTTACGTAATCCCCAAACCTTGTAACTTTAAGGTAGGCGTTAACCTTCTCAATTTTAGAGGTGGGGAAATTGGGGTCCTGTGTTAATTCATTTCCAAGAGAGGGCTGAGGAGAGAGCTCACTTAACCCCTGTCTCCAAAAAGCAGCCCTGAACTCGTGCCCCGGCCTGCCCATGCTTCAGCCCCTGGCATCAGCTCAGATGATGTATCCTCTAAGCCAGCGGTCGCCAACCTTTCAGATTTCATGGACCACCGGTGGTCCGCGGGCCACCAGTTGACGACCGCTGCTCTAAGCTATTGTTCTGTTAGGATGGGGCATTCTTGACTCATTTCCTTCCTCCTTCCAGCCGGAACCCACAGAAGAAGACATTGAAAAGAACCCAGAGCTGAAGAAGCTGCAGATCTATGGGGCAGGCCCCAAGATGATGGGCCTGGGCCTCATGGCCAAGGACAAGACTCTGCGGAAGAAAGGTGAGGCCTCCCAGGGGCAGTGTGAAGGACGGCCTCCCCTGGGAGAGAAGGTAGGGCCTGATTGCTCACATCCGTTCCTCAGAGCTGCTCTGCTCTCTCCCAGATAAGGAAGGGCCTGAGTGTCCCCCGACTGTAGTGGTAAAGGAGGAGTCGGGCGGGGACATGAAGGTGGAGCCGGCCTCACCCAAGACCTACCTGGAGAGCAAGGAGGAGCTGAGTCACAGCCCAGAGCCCTGCACCAAAATGACTATGAGGCTGCGGAGGAACCACAGCAATGCCCAGTTTGTAAGGACCCGGCCCTGGCTTCCTAACGCTTTGCTTCTTGTCCCCGCAACAAGCATTTCCCTAACATGGCGCTGGCCCCGGTTGCACCCAGCAGAAGCGCGGGTGTGGTGGGCCCTGCCTTTAGGTTGCTCACTTAATTGGGGAAATAGAGCCAACTCACATGGAACAGGAACCAGTAAAGGTGATCAAATACTGTCAACATGCAGCACAGAAAGGGTCCAGAGGCTAAGCTCATTCCCATGCGTGAGCCAGTCCCTGCTGACGTCTAGCCTCGTTCCCCAGTGCTGCTCCCTCCTTACAGCCACACCAAACCACTCATAGGCATGTTCGTTTCCCCCCCCAACACACTGTGCTGTCTCCTTTCACATCCATGGCACATATGCCGACTCTCCCGCCTGGAAAATGTCCCCCTGCACTCTGCCCGCTGCAGCCGGCTTTCGAGTTTCGGTTTGAGGTGTTGCCTTTGCAGTGAAGTGCCTCCTTATCTCTAGCTGATTGGAGTGCTTCCTCCTCCAGCTCCCACAGTCCCCTCTGTGGGCCGCTCTTGGCAGTTTCTGCACTGCCCTTGAATTTTTTATTTATTTAATTTTTTTGTTTCTTTTTTGCCCTTGAATTTTTGTGAACCCGTATCTCTCGGGTCCTGCGTGCCTCTGGAGGGCAGATGCCATGTCATATGCATCACTGACCTGCAGAGTCCGCCTTACTGGCGAACACACAAGTGTTGATTGAATGAAAAACGGGGGCGGGGGGATAGAGCGAGAAAGGCTCTGATTTCACTACCTGACCAGTGGGTGCGGGGAGGTGGCACATGCGTACAGTTGAACTCCAGGCTGAGCATGATTGCCTGCACAGGGCCGTGAGTGATCCAGCTAGCGAGCGCTGCAGCTTTTCTATTTTTAGCAAGAGTGGAAGGGGTGGGGGTGGGGAAGACACATCAGTGTGAGAGACACCAATTGGTTGCCTCCCCCCCCAACACACACACATATTGAGGCTCCAGCCGATTCCCCTTGACCAGAATCAAACCTAAGACCCTTCAGTGCGTGGGCCAGTGTTCCCTCCACTGAGCCAGACCGGCTAGGGTGCAGTGCAGCTTTCTGATGGAGACTGCCGGACCCGGGTCCCTTCTGGAGGAGTCCGCTGTGTGAAGGCCCGACAGGACTTAGGTGGCCGAACTGCTGCCTCCCTCCCCCGGCAGATTGAGTCGTATGTATGTCGGATGTGCTCCCGAGGGGATGAGGACGACAAACTGCTGCTGTGTGACGGCTGTGATGACAACTACCACATCTTCTGCCTGCTGCCGCCCCTGCCTGAGATTCCCAAGGGCGTCTGGCGCTGCCCAAAGTGTGTCATGGCGGTAAGGCCTTCCCAGCCACAGCCGCGCCTGCCTTCTCGGGTAGCTTTGCCTCCCTTCACCTGGCTTTATTGTGAGCAGCGTCCTAGCTGCGCCACAGGCTTCTGATTTGGGTCCCTGGGGTGGGGGCTAGGCTGGGCGGAGCTTTGGGGAAATGAGGAGGTGGGGACAGCTTTCGCTCGTGTCTTCCCGGAGCTCCCAGGCCACGGGGGGAGAGTCCTGATTAGACAGATTGTATGTAATGGCATGTAATCAAATGCTAAATTGTGTGTTAGAAACTCGGAGGCGTAGAACTTCTGAAGAGAGGAAAATGACTAAGGGTGGATGTCAGGATTGACATATGGAAGACGAACATGAAGCAAAAATTGTTCTTTTGATTTCCAAGCATTTCATTCTTTTGTTCTTTTAGAAAGCGTGGAAAATAGACAAATTACCTATCATTTCATCACTTAGACACAACCATTGCTAATAGGCTGGTATATTTTCTTCTCATCTTTTTGTCGTTGCATTGGGGATCTTACTGTATATTTTTGATGTTACTTTTAATCATTTTTCTGTATTATTTATTCATAGGTATGATTTGTTTTTCTTATAGGGGGCCCATGATATGGGTATAATATTTGTTTTCCTTCTGTTGTGATAATACAATCAATTTGCAGTGACACAGACTTTCAGTAGAAAAGGTGGGCAGGACTTCTAGACTGGGGAGTACATGTCAAAAATGCCAAGCAGGAGTGTATGGGGAGAAGGTACCTAGTGCAAGGGGGGCAGGAAGGAGAGCCGTGAAGCCGCAGTGAGGGCCAAGCAGCCTAAAAGGCCCACCAGGTCTGTTCCACGAGCTTCCTCCCCTCATCCAAATTCTCTGCTCCTCGCATTTCTCGCTGGCTGTCTGGAGACCAGATGCTGACTGTCTCTCTAGCCTTATCGCAGGGACTCAGCTGAGGTCCCAGAGACCAGGTGTGCAAGCGCACGCACACGCACACACGCACACGCACACACCCAGACGACGGAGGAGGCCAGGGCAGTGCGGAATGAATGGCCTCAGTAGCGGTGGAGAGCCCTGTGGGGAGGAGTTTGGATACCAACAGTATCCCAGACGGCCAAGATTCTCAGCCCCGCTTGGCTCCGTCAGTGGTTGTGAGCCAGTGGGCCAGGCTGGCAGGTACTCCTCAGAGGCGAGAAGGGCATGTGTCTGGTTCTGGGATACCCAGGCCTCTCATCTAAAACCAGGACTGTAGGCACACAGTGAGGCCGGCCGGCATCCAGTCTTCTAAGACAATCTAAAGGACAGGAACGGTGTAGGTTTTGGCACTGTGAAAGCTAGTGCCTTTGTTTCCCGTCCTCCAAGCTACTAGAATATTCACTGCTCATTTCCTAGGCCTTTACTTCCAATCTGGGCATTAAGAAAAGCTTTCCGAAACATGCTGTATAAACGTGTATTTTATTTACTTATTTATTTAAAAATATTTATATTGATTTCAGAGAGGAAGGAAGAGGGAGAGACAGAAGCATCAGTGATGAGAATCACTGATCGGTTGTCTCCTGCACGCCCCGCACTGGGGATGGAGCCCGCAACCCTGGCATGTGCTCTGACCGGGAATCGAGCCGTGACCTCCTGGTTCATAGGTCAGCAATCAACCACTGAGCTACTCGGGCCGGGCTAAACCCATATTTTAGCTCGAGAGAGAAAAAATAGTGGCAGAAGACATAGATAGCATATTGAGGTCCGAGCCCATGGTTTAGATAGTAAAGCCCTAAGCAGGAGAGGAGCAGAGCGCGGCAGTGAGCAGGTGAGGAGTGAGAAGGCTCATTGAGCTGCGGTGCTAGGAGGAAAGGCGGAGCTGTTCAATGAAGCTGCCGCGGGAGCCTTGGGTGCGGATCCAGGGCTGTTCTCCCTCCCTGCCTCTGCCATATTCCAGCTCCGACCTGGAGACTTCTCCAGCTCTCTGCCCCTCCCTCGGTGACACGCTCTCCTTTGGGTTTCAGGAGTGTAAGCGTCCCCCTGAAGCCTTCGGCTTTGAGCAGGCCACCCGGGAGTACACTCTGCAGAGCTTTGGCGAGATGGCCGACTCCTTTAAAGCCGATTACTTCAACATGCCCGTGCACGTAGGTGGCGGAGGACAGGGCCAGTGTCAGGGCTGGGGTCGTGGGTGCTGGCGGGTGACGGTCTTCACTCTCCCGGGCCAGTGGGGCTAGGATATGACGGGCCCCGGTCATTCGCTCCCCCTGTTCCCCAGATGGTACCCACAGAACTCGTAGAGAAGGAGTTCTGGCGGCTGGTGAACAGCATTGAGGAGGACGTGACGGTTGAGTATGGGGCTGACATCCATTCCAAAGAATTTGGCAGCGGTTTCCCTGTCAGCGACAGTAAGCGTCGCCTAACCCCTGAGGAGGAGGTGAGTGGATGACTCATGGGTATACGTGAGCTCTGTGACTAGGCAAGTCCTTCAGTGTCTTGGAAAGACCTGGTGGCTCTGAGGGGTTTACATGAGATGAGATGTGTGGAAAGGTCATAACCTGGTGACTGGCATGGCATCTCCAGGCATGAGATTGGCTGATTCCTTGTCCGAGGAATGGGGATAGTATCTACATTACACATCTGTTAGAAGAATCAGATGAGAAGATGTGTGACATGGGTGCCTGGCTTGTTCATAAAAAGCTCAGGGAGTAGATTGCATGTGCCGAAAAAAATGAGGTCCAGATCCTGCATCAAGGGAGGGTGCCTTTTGCTTCAGAGCAGGGGCTTCTAACTTGCAGGAGAAAGACAAGACCTATGCTATTTCTTAGATGTTTCCAGAAGGTCTGTGACCTCAAAAGTAGCATTCTCTGGGCTGAAGATCTCAGCTCCTTGTCATCTCCCTCATCCCCTTCCCACAAATATTTCACCTGACAGGAGTACGCCACCAGTGGCTGGAACCTGAATGTGATGCCAGTGTTGGAGCAGTCCGTACTGTGCCACATCAACGCAGACATCTCCGGCATGAAGGTGCCCTGGCTCTATGTAGGCATGGTCTTCTCAGCTTTTTGCTGGCACATTGAGGATCACTGGAGCTACTCCATTAACTACCTCCACTGGTGAGTGGGGAGCCGGGGACCCGGGAACGCAGGCTGGACGCCCTCAGGACCATGGACGTGACCACTCTCTCTATCCCCTTTCCAATCGGATAGGGGTGAACCGAAGACTTGGTATGGGGTACCCTCGCTCGCAGCGGAACACTTAGAGGAGGTGATGAAGAAGCTGACGCCTGAGCTTTTTGATAGCCAGCCTGACCTCCTCCACCAACTGGTCACCCTCATGAACCCCAATACCCTCATGTCCCATGGCGTGCCGGTGAGTGTCCAGGGGTAGGAATGGGGTAGCGATGTCCTCTGTAGTGGTGGTGGTCCTTGTCTGGAACCTCCCCCTCCCCCTTTCTCATTCCTGTTGTATCTTCATCGGGCTATCGGTCTGACGGTTCTCATAGGACCAAAAATAAAAACGTTCAGATACACAATGTGATGGTGAGCCTTCCGGGTCACGTGTTTGAGGGCAACACCTTAGGGATGGCTTCTTATCACATCTGCATTCCCGCCAGGGCAAGAGGGAAGTGGGAGAAGGACAGGGCAAGAAAGGTCTCTTTACTTTTAAGGGCAGACATAATTTCTATGCATTTCCCGTTAGTCACAACTTAGTCACGTGGCCACATGTAGCTGCAGGGAAAACTGGGAAATGCGATTTTTGTTCTAGATGGTTACATACCAGCTACAATTGGAGGTCGTGTTACTATGAAAGAAGGTGAGAATATCAGGGCACAGCTAGCAGTTCTCTGCCGTACTTTCCATACTGTAGTAGCCTTGGAGTAGTGGGTAGGTCTTTTTTACTTATTTACCAGGTCTGAGGTTCAGTGGTGGCAATTATTTTGCAATATATGTCTTATCAAATCGATATGTTGTGCACCTTAAACTTACACAATGTTTTATATTGTGTAAAATATTTAAAAAATTTATATTTTGTTTTATATCTCAATAAAGCTGGGGTGTAAGGTAACCTTTTTTTAAAAAGGTGGCTAATATCTTTCAACATTAAAAGAAAAAAAAGTTGAACTCAGAGTCCTGGCTTATACTATCCTGTGGGCCTCTCCTCTCCTATCAGACGTTTTGCTAGGTGTAAGCCTGGCTTACCTATAAGAGACTATATCCCTGGGAATGTCCAGCATTAATTGGCATCAGCTGGTTTTCCGGTGTGGCTCTTAAAACAGCCTGATGAACAGTCCTGTAGGAACAGGGATTAGTACATTCACCACCTTTGCTTTGGGTTTTATTCTATACTCCCTTCTCCCTTCTCTCTCCTCTTCCCCACCCTTACCCGCCTTGCCACTTAGTCTAATGCGTGGGGTATGGTAGGCAATCAGTATATATTGAGTCTCCTTGAGATCCCTAAATATCAGTGCAGTAAGTAGGGCTTTGGACTGGGGCAGTGGTTTTCACCCAATTTCTTCTTGCCTTCACCTTGTTTTGATGTACTTCATACCCTTTGATTAACATTTTTTTTTTAATGTATAGAGAGGAAGGGAGAGAGATGGAGCGTTAGAAACATCGATGAGAGCGAGTCATCGATCAGCTGCCTCTTGCACACCCCCCACTGGGGATATGCCCTCAACCAAGGTACATGCTCTTGACCGGAATCGAACCCGGGACCCTTCAGTCCCCAAGCCGACGCTCTATCCATTGAGCCAAACCGGTCTCGGCTTGAGTGACATTTTTTATTATACATCGGAGTGGTCTTTAACCAAGGATTGAGATATCTAGGGAATTAGAGGAAGCGTTCTACAACAGTTCAGGCAGCCTTCCTCTGCTTAGAGGTGGCGTATCCTTTTCCGCCTCCACCTCACCCCATGTAAGAGTTACTGGAGTTGAGATGTCCAGTTGTTCAAAGGCCTTGCAGTTCTCTTCACAACTAGACATTGGGTCTGACCTTTCCTCAAACCTGGCCTACTATGTCAAGGACAATTATAAAAGTAGAGGTGGATTCTCCTAAAGGATTCAGACAGCCAAGATACATATATAGCTCTGGCCGGTGTTGGTCACTGGATTGTGTATCTTCCCTTGCACCAAAAGGTTGCTGATCTGATTCCTGGTCAGAGCACATGCCCGAGTTGTGGACTCAGTCCTGATAGGGTGCACAAGGTAGCCATTTGATGTGTTCGCACATCGATGTTTCTCTCTTTCCCTCTTCTTTCCCCTCAAAAAAAAAGTCAATTAAAGAAATCTTTAAAAAAAGATTCATATATAAGTAGCTGTTTATTTCTTACCTCTTTTTTAAAAACTTTATCACAGACCTTGAAGTATGTGCTCTTTGCTCCCACAGCATTGTCCCTGCTCATGGCAGTATCCCTCAATCCTATTCTCGTGTTGGCAGGCTGCAGTGTAGCCAGTTGGACCTCCCCCAGAGCTATCTTTAGCCTTCCCCCTCCTTCCTCTTTGGTGAGAAAAGGCCATTTCTTTTTATAGATATATATAGTATAACTATTATTTTCATTATAAAAGAAACATGCCCTCTTCCCAAAAAAGAGTAAATAGAGAGGCCATCCTTATTTCCTTCACATTTTATGTTTCCATCTTGTTTTTTCTATGTAAATTTTGACATAGCAATAATAAGTGTGTAGATTTTATGATTTCTTTTGTAAGTTTAATGACCTAGAATGGCACTGTCCAGTTTGGTAGCTCCTAGCCTAGCCACATGGGGCTACTGAGCACTGGAAGCATGACTAGTCCTAACTGTAATGTGCTGAAAGTTAAAGCACTCTGGATTTCAAGACTTAGTACAAAACAATATCTCACTAGTACCTTTGTATACCAGTTACACATTGAAATGATAATATTGCAGCTATATTAAGTTAAATAAAATATATTGAAATTAATTGCATCTGTTTTACTTTTTAATGTGGCTACTAGATAATTTAAAAGAGCATATGTGGCTGGTATTATCTTGGACAGTGCAGGACTAGAATAATTTTTGCTTCCTTACTATGAACTGTTTATAACCACCTTTTTAAAAAGTCTTGCCCTGGCTGGTATGGCTCAGTTGGTTGGGCCTCATCCAGTTCACCAAAAGGTTACCAGTTCAATTTCTGATCAGGACACATGCCTGGGTTGCAGGCTCATATGCGGTAGTAGAAGGCAGCCAATCGATGTTACACTCTCACATCGATGTTTCTTTCTTCTTCCCTTCCTCTCTCTCTCAAAATCAATCGATCAATAAAAAATACCATCTTTTTAAAAAATAGCTTTTTTGCCGAAACCCGTTTGGCTCAGTGGATAGAGCGCTGGCTTGGGGACTGAAGGGTCCCGAGTTAGATTCCGGTCAAGGGCATGTACCTTGGTTGCGGGCACATCCCCAGTGGGGGTGGGGGGTGGTGCAAGAGGCAGCTGATCGATGACTCTCTCTCATGACTCTCTTTCATCGATGTTTCTAACTCTCTCTCTCTCCCTTCCTCTCTGTAAAAAATCAATAAAATATATTAAAAAATAGCTTTCTTGCAGTACAATTTACCTACCAAAATTCACACATTTTAAGTGAACATTTGAGCAAATTTACAGAGTTGTGTTACATCACCCCAATCCAGTTTTCGAACATTTTTATCACCCCAAAAAGGAACTTCATGCCCATGCCCTTTTTTCAGTCTCCATTCTAACCCCTAGTCCCAGACAACCACTAATCTGCCTTCTATTTCTACAGATTTGCCTTTTGTAGACAGTTCATATAAATATAATATGTGGTCTTTTGTGTCTGGCTTTTTTCACTTAGCATAATATTTTCAAAGTTCATATTATAACCTGTGTCAGAACTTTCCTTTTTATAATGGAACTAGAGGGCCGGTGCATAAAATTCATGCGGGCGAGGGGGGGGGGTGCACGCAGTCCCCACAGCCAGATCTGTGCCCTCTCGCAGTCCAGGACCCTTTGCTCCTTACCTAAGCCGGCAGTGGGACATCCTTAGTGCTGCTGGGAGGGAGGAGAGGCTCCCACCACTGCTGCTGCGCTTGCCAGCCATGGCTAAGCAGTACTTCCCCTGTGGGAGCACACTGACCACCAGGGGGCAGCTCCTGCATCGAGTGTCTGCCCCCTGGTGGTCAGTGCATGTCATAGCGGGCAGTCTTTTTTTTTTTTTAATATATATTTTATTGATTTTTTACGGAGAGGAAGAGAGAGGGATAGTTAGAAACATCTATGAGAGAGAATCATCGATCAGCTGCCTCTTGCACACCCCCTACTGGGGATGTGCCTGGAACCAAGGTACATGCCCGGAATCGATTCTGGGACCTTTCAGTCCGCAGGCTGACTCTCTATCCACTGAGCCAAACCGGTATCGGTGCGACCGGTCTTTCTGGTCGTTCCACTGTAACTATCGCTTAGGCTTTTATTTTACAGATAATTTTCCATTATAGGGTATATCATGTTTTGCTTACCATTCACCAGTTGATGGACATTGCCAAAAAGAGAGGGTAGGTTGAGACAAAGAGTTGGGAGCGTTAGGTTCTATTTTTGGCTCTTCTATTTGAGACTTCTCTGGGACTCAGTTTTTCACATCTTTATTTTTTTTAAAAATATATTATATTGATTTTGTACAGAGAAGAAGGGAGAGAGATAGTTAGAAACATCGATGAGAGTCATCAATCAGCTGCCTCTTGCACACTCCCCACCAGGGATATGCCCACAACCAAGGCACATGCCCTTGACCGGAATCGAACCTGGGACCCTTCAGTCCCCAAGCTGACGCTCTATGCTCTATCCGTTGAGCCAAACCGGTTTCGGCAGTTTTTCACATCTTTAAAATAGGGCTGGAACTAGATCATTCAACAGATATTGCTAGAACTCCCTCCGGTCATTACCCGGAAGGTAGATAAACCAGTCCCTCCCTATGGGTATGCACAGAAGGGTGGAGGTGAGTAACAAGTAGGAATAAAAAGCTGGAGGTGCTACAAAAGAACAACGGACTGGGTCCTTAGGAAGGCGGTCACAAAGGCACAAAAGAAAGACTGGAAGGAAGGGGAAGTTTGCCTGTCTGGCCATGGCTCTCTCATGTGGACATAGGGATTCAAGTGAGGGCTTCTCGGTAGGGTCAGATTGGCATTTTTTGGAAAATTCTTGTGGTTGGTAATGGGGCCCAGTGCTATAATACAGGCAAGAAATGCTAATGTTGCCTCTAAGTAAGGATAGATTTGAGAAGAAAATGTATTGGATGGGGGGAAGGGGCTTGATGCGTGACCTGAATAAATATGTAGGTGTTTTCACTAATGGGTAGATTCAGTATTGTCAGGATATTAATTCTCTCCACATGAATCTAGAATCCTAGCAGAGGAATCGTTGGATTGAAGGATATAAATATCTTAGGTTTTTAATATTAGCAGTTTTGCTTTCTAAAGAGTAGAGGTTATTTGTCCCCTCATTGACACTTTACCTATTTCACTTAGTCTTTATCAGCATTGAATATTCATCTTAGAAAACTTTATGAGACTTCTCGGTAAAGATGGTGAATTAAACATAAAGATGGATACTTCCATTCTATACTGAAACTCCACTAAAATGGCACAGAGGTTTTTATTTAAGGTAAAAAAAAAAAAAAAAAAAAAAGTGGAAAAACAAGAAGACAATGATAAAATGATTGAAACTAGAAAATGAAAAAATTCATTCTTAAGTCAGTACTGGTATATTAAGAACCAACCTGATTTATACCTCACAACCCCCTAAAAGTTTAATAATTGATGTCACCAGGTGTTCTGGGAATAAAGAGAATGAGGTGAAAATAAGGATTGGTTCATGTCTATATAAGAAGCTGTGATATATCCTTCTAGTCTGCGCAACTGGAAATACAACCCTCCTCACTCCAGCAACAGACTGGAAATTTAATTTTGAAGAGGTTAAAATAGAAGATCACTGGATTGAGATGTTCTATGTACAGTTGAGGGTGGAGGTACAGTGAAAATGATGTCTTATTGTATACAGCCTGCATGCCGAGGTTCCCAGCCATAATCCTCTACTTGGCTCTCGGAACACTGACAGTCACACTTTTTGCCTTCAAGAATCTGGCCCAAAAGGAAAGACCTAGAGTTTCCCAAACTGCCGTGTTTCCCCGAAAATAAGACATCCTCCGAAAATAAGACCTAGCGCATGGAAAGATAAGACATCCCCTGAAAATAAGACCTAGCGCAACTTTGGGAGAAAAAATTAATATAAGACACTCTTATTTTCGGGGAAACAGGGTAAATAGCTCAGCCAGATCACCCTACAATGAAGCTCACAGTTGACAAACTTAACAACTATGTTTTCAGAGTTTCGATTCGTTTTTTTTCATTTCTTACTCTTAAATAGAAGTAGCCACAAATTAACACACAATCAAGGAAACTGTAGAAAACAAAATGGAACCAAATAGGAAAAAATCAACTTAGAGAAACAGCATAGGCAGAGAGAAGTAAACTTTAAAAAGGTAAAGAAAATAAACATAATTAGTAACTTTAGGGATGAGGATATATTGCAAACGAAATAAGGACAATCACTATTTTTAAAGAGGATACAGAGAACAAAAAAGAGCTCTTAGAAATTAAAATTATACTACAAACTGAAATTTTTTTTATTTTTTTTCATTTTCAAAACTTGAATGTCAAGAGCAAAACTCTGGCTGTTAAATAATATCAAAACAATGCCAATGCAAAACAACAATATGAGAAATCAGAACTATGGACATATTAACTTTTTTAGCTACCAAATGAAAGAAAGTCTCTCGCTGCTGGCGTATATTTACTCAGAGTCCTTGGACTTGGCTGCAGAAGACTTTGCAGAAGACTGGCAGCTTACAGACGCTAGCATGAGCAGGAACATGGTTGAAAAGTAGCTTCCACTTCTTGCTTTTCCACAATCTGCTGCACTTAGTCGTTTTCTTCAGATGACCCCATGTTGGCACCTCAGTCCCTTGTGTATCTTTCCGTTTTCTTCTTCCCCTTTGCTGTCATCGGGCAACTCTCAGTCCTTTTGAGTGAAGGGACACAGGAGCTTCTTTAGATACTTGCGGTGACGGATGTAACAGTCTGGCACCTGAATTGGCTGCATTGCTCCTTCTCTTGTTACCTCTTTGGGGCCAGACGTGGTGGGGATCTCCTTTTTCCGCGTCCTGCACGGAAAGAGAGGTGAACAAACCAGTTTTAAGTGGAGGCAGCTAGGGATTGAGAAATATTAGAAATAGAGAAGACACAGAGATAGATTTTAAGCTGGGAGCTGGGTGGGCCGCCATATTGTCGGCTGGAGAGGCAGGAAGAAGACGACTGAAGCCGAGACCGGTTTGGCTCAATGGATAGAGCGTCGGCTTGGGGACTGAAGGGTCCCGGGTTCGATTCCGGTCAAGGGCATGTACCTTGGTTGCAGGCATATCCCCAGGAGGGGGTGTGCAAGAGGCAGCTGATCGATGACTCTCTCATCGATGTTTCTAACTCTCTATCTCTCTCCCTTCCTCTCTACAAAATCAATAAAATATATTAAAAAAAAAAAAAAAAGAAGACGACTGAAAAAAAAATTTAAATAAAAAAATTTAAATAAAAAAATAAAATTTAAATTAAAAAATTTAAATAGAAGATGAATAGTTAAGGAAATCTCCCAGAAAAAAAAAGTAGGATAAAAAGATAAATATGGAAAAATATAGAGAGAATTACAGAATTTATTTAGGAGGCTCAATAATTAAATAATAGGAGTTCTGAAAAGAAAATACAGAAAAACTGAAGAAAAAAAAAAGCTCTTCCCGTCATTTCTCAGTAAGCTAGAGAAGAGAATGTGCTCCAACACAGCAAAGGAATAAACCAAAACCCAAGAAAGAGGAAAACTCAGGGTCTGGGAACACAGGTGATCCTTCACAGGAGAGTGATAATCCAGGAAGGACAGCTGGTCCAGACTGGAACAGATCATAAGTCTCCATGAGAGACTACAGAAATGTGAAAACTGATAGCAGAGTTGGACACTTGTCCAAAAGCTAGGGATTCAATTACTGATACATGCGTAGAAAATTCAGCAGATTGAGATGTAGGCTGTTTATAGGCTAGAGGCATGTCGTTCGGTATTAAAGAAAATGCCAGAATAAGAAGAGGTGAAGGTAGTTGGCTCTGGGGAGGAGAATGGCAGGGTCTGCTGTTTTATAACGGACGTCGGAGAACCATTTGACTCTTGAAGCTGCATCTATGACTGGTAATAATTAATGAAAAAACCTTGACTAGCTTAATGAAAGGTGAGATTTTAAATTTTTCTAAAAACTGCTGAGCTTGAAATATTTTGGTGTGTACTTTTGACTCCAATTTTCCTGTCACCTGTCAACACAAAACCTTGAAGGCCAGAGACCAAGGGCCAGTCCTCCCAGTGTGTGAGGGTCTGGGGAATCTGTTGTCAGACTGTGTTTCCCGAGGCTTTCCTTGGTCTCCATAAGTACCCTGCACGTAGATCAGGTTTCTGCAGACAGGGAAAACCTGTCTCAGTGACTCTTGCCTGCCTTCCTCAGGTTGTCCGCACGAACCAGTGTGCAGGAGAATTCGTCATTACCTTCCCTCGCGCTTACCACAGTGGCTTCAACCAAGGCTACAATTTTGCTGAGGCCGTCAACTTTTGCACTGCTGACTGGGTGAGTCCGAAGGGTGATCGGCTGGAAGGGAGCAGCAGGAGGAGGGTTATGGGGAAGCTGAGGCACCACGGTCTCCACGCTTAGCCAAACTCCACTTTGAACCTGTCCGCAGCTGCCAGCTGGGCGCCAGTGCATTGAGCACTACCGCCGGCTCCGTAGATACTGTGTCTTCTCCCATGAGGAGCTCATATGCAAGATGGCTGCCTGCCCAGAGAAGCTGGACCTGAACCTGGCGGCAGCTGTGCATAAGGAGATGTTCATCATGGTTCAGGAGGAGCGGCGTCTGCGCAAGGCTCTGCTGGAGAAAGTGAGTGATGGGGAGAGTGCCCTGGAGCAGAGTTTTTAACTAGAGGCCTAGTGCATGAAATTCATGCACTTGGGGGGGGCCCTCAGTGCCATCTGTGCCCCTTCGCAGTCCCAGAGCCCTAGAAGGACGCCTGACTGATGGTTTAGGCTCTAGCGCTGCTGCAGAGGTGGCAGAGCCTCCCACCACTGCTGCTGCACTCACCAGCCTTGAGCCTGCCTGGCTCAGGGCTTCTGGCTGAGCAGCACTCCCCCTGGAGCGCACTGACCACCAGGTGGCAGCTCCCGCATTGAGCATCTGCCCCCTGGTGGTCAGTGCACGTCATAGTGACTGGTTATTCCACCGTTTGGTCGATTTGCATATTAGCCTTTTATTATATAGGATGTTTTTATTGATTTCAGAGAGAGGAAGGAAGAGAAACAATGATGAGAGAGAATCATTGATTGGCTGCCTCCTGCGTACCCTCTACTGAGGATTGAGCCCACAACCCCGGGCATGTGCCCTGACGGGAGGGGGGGTGGAGGACGCGGGGGGTTGGGGGGATGATTTAAACCAGCAACCTCTCAGTTCATGGGTCAGCACTCAACCAATGAGCCACACCGGCTCAGTGCTTACCTTTGTGAAAGCTGTATAGATTGATGTATATTAAATAAGTGAGCCATAGCAGGTGCTAGTATAGCTGCTCTTCATTATTATTTAAATAACCCAGCAAGGAAGGCTGGCATATGCGGATTGGCTGGATGACCTTTTCAAGTCACTTAACCTCTCATAGTCTCACTTTCCCACTCTGTAAAATGGAAATAAACACTTAACTTACAAGGTGGGAAAGCATGAGTAAGGTGATTTATGTCAAAGTGTCTGTAGTAATAGCATCTGTAACATTTGCAGTGTAGCAGCTGCTATTATTGGTAATATTACCACATGAAGAAAATGGTGGAATATGGAACACTTCTTAGGAAATGCCATTTTATTACATTCAGATGGTTTAATAGCTCACACTGAGGTGAAATCACCAAGTGGAGGGTAGTCCTCCTCCAATAGATTTCTCATAAGCATGTGTCAGTTGTGTGTGTAGATGAGTGTAGTTTAGCTGCCTTCTTAAAGTGCCACACTTCCCAGTTGAATTGTTTGTTTTTTCTCATTGAGTTGTATATTTATATCTTTGTATATTTTGAATATTAATCCTTTATCAGATGTATGGTTTACAAATATTTTCTCTCATTCCGTATGCTGGCTTTTCATTTTGTTTTCTTCCAGGAGTTTTATGGTTTTAGGTCTTCTGTTTATGTCTTTAATCTATTTCAAGTTACTTTCTGTAAGTGGTGTAAGATAGGGTCCAGTTTAATTCTGTTGCATGTGATTATCTACTATTCCCAGCACCGTTTATTGAAGAGACTATCCCTTCCCCATTGAACAGTCTGGGCTCCCTTGTCAAAAATATTAGTTGACAGTGTATCTGTAGGGGTTTATTTCAGGGCATTCAATTCTGTTTCATTGATCTATGTGTCTGTTTTTTATGTCAGTACCATGCTGTTTTGATTACTATAGCCTTGTAGTATAGTTCAAAATCAGGAACTGTTACCTCCAGCTTTGATCTTGTGTCACAAGATTGCTTTGGCTATTTGGCTCTTATATGGTTCCACTTATTCTAAGTGTTAAGATACTTCTCTAAGTCATTAGTTACTTTTATCTTTGTTAATCCTCTTAACAACCTAAACATTATCTCCATTTTATAAGATAAGAAAACTAAAACTTAATAGGTTTAAATAATTTATTCAAGATAACACAGCTAATAAGTGGCCAAGTGGGATTTGTAATATGCACTGGACATCATATTTTACGTAAAGATTAGGTGCTAAAGAAATAGAAGATTAAAAGCTGTTAAGAATCCAAATGTCCCTTTAAAACCCCTAAAATTGCCCATAATGGCAATTATCTTTCATTTCCTCCCTCAAAGCCAGCTTGTCCTCCATATTTTGGAATGGATTGCTTTTTCTTCATCTGAGCAACAGATGAAGTCATTGCTTATTAGGCTTGGAAGCCATGTTGTTTTAAATAAAAATTATATCTTTAAAGAGTGGAGACGGGCATAGGTTTTATTTCTGAGACTTTTGTATGTGCACGCAGTGAGTCCTGCGTGCTAAGCAGCCAGCACAGTGCCTGGAGCATGGTGGGCGCTGAGTGACTGGAAGCCAGCCTCACTCCCCAGGACACGCACGGCCTTTCTCCTGCCTCCTCCCACGCCGAGCCACCTCTCTGGTGCCTTGGTTACCCCTTTCCTTATGTTCCCCCACCCAAAAGGCCCTTATAGCTGATGCCCATCGCACCCCACTGATCTTCCCCTCGGCCCTCTGGTTCCCCCAGCTGTGACAGTCTAGACTTCACAGAGGCAGGGTGCTCCCTCCCCCGGCCCTCGGCATAGCTTGGTTTCCAGCACGGGGCTCAGTGGCGGCTGACACGGGGCCCTGTTCTGGTTCCATATAATATGCGTGGGTCGAACTGCCCCCAGGGCATCACTGAAGCTGAGCGAGAGGCTTTCGAGCTGCTCCCGGATGATGAGCGCCAGTGCATCAAGTGTAAGACCACGTGCTTCCTATCAGCCCTGGCCTGCTACGACTGCCCCGACGGCCTTGTCTGCCTTTCCCACATCAATGACCTCTGCAAGTGCTCCAGTAGCCGGCAGTACCTGCGGTGAGCCGGGGGGCCTACCTGGAGGAAGTGGGCCGAGGAGGGAGACGCAGAGCGGGGCGAGAGGTGCTCTTCTCTGCCCTCTTCCTCCAGGTATCGCTACACCTTGGATGAGCTCCCTGCCATGCTACATAAGCTGAAGGTTCGGGCTGAGTCCTTTGACACCTGGGCCAACAAAGTGCGAGTGGCCCTGGAGGTGGAGGATGGGCGGAAGCGCAGTGAGTGATGGGGGGGTCGGAGGGACTCCACAGGCAAGTTCTACTCCCTTTTCTTCTGTGCCCCGCCTGCTCGCTCTGCCCGCACTCCACGCTGCCCACTCCTTGCCGCTCTCACTCTCTCCCCAGGCCTGGAAGAGCTCAGGGCCCTGGAGTCCGAGGCCCGCGAGCGGAGGTTCCCGAGCAGCGAGCTGCTGCAGCGACTCAAGAACTGCCTGAGTGAGGCCGAGGCCTGCGTGTCCCGGGCGCTGGGCCTGGTCAGCGGCCAGGAAGCTGGGTATGGCATGGCACCGCGAGTGCCACTGGGCAGGCGGCAGCAGGCAACTGACAAGTTCGAGGTGGCCTGGGAGGTGATGGGGCAGGGGCGGGGGAGGGGGGGGAGCAGAGAGACCATGCAATTAGAATTGTACACCGAAGAGGATCTTGGTCCCAAGAAAGCTAGAAATGTTCCTTTTTTTCAACACCTCGGGGAGATCTCAGACAGGCCGAGGGGACGTGTGGGCAGGGAGGGCCTGGGGGAGGGTTAGGGGGGCCTTGAAGCATAAGCCTGACAGGTCCCAGTGGAGGATGTATTGAAAAGTCCAGCTCCTGAGACCATCAGTGAATTTGGAAGCACCCCCTTCCCAAGTATATCCTATATTCCTCTCATCGTTGTTAACCCTCAGAACAGCCCAGTGAGGGTGGTACCGTTATCTCCACTTTAGACGCTAAGGCAGCCCGTGTTCTCGTCCTATGAATGCGTTTGTGTCTGAGAACCCCCTCCCCCCGGGCAAGCTGAAGCCTGAGAGATCCAGGTGGGGGGTTGGAGGACAAGTGTCAGGTCTCAGCACAGACGCGGAAGGAGGGGACGTGAAACCCCACATGTGAAACCTCGCAGTCCCCACAGGGTAGCCGATGTCCAGATGACCTTGGCCGAGCTCCGGGCCTTCCTGGACCAGATGAGCAACCTGCCGTGTGCCATGCACCAGATCGGGGACGTCAGGGTAAGCAGAGGTGGTCTTGGGGTGCCGCCGAATGCCCGGGCGGGTTGGGGGGCCTGGGCCGCGTGAGAGAATAACGGGAGGTCGGAGGCCGGAGCTCTTGTGGCTGCCTCCTCCCAGAGCTGGGGCGTGAGGGGCAGGCTGCAAAGTCAAGGGCAGGTTTCCTGGTGGAGCTGAAACAGGACAAGGAGGAAGTACGAGGGTGTTTGTGAGCCTGGGGAGTGGAGTCAAGTTCAGGAAGGCAGAGAGTGGGCTAGAGAGAGCCATGGGCACTAGTGTGAAGGGAGGGGCTTGTGAGAGGGCCAAGCATAACCAAGCGAGAAGGGAGTCCTGGTGCTGTACCTCTGAGCCCTCTGGGGACTTAAATAAGCAGAGACTCCTCCCCAGCCCCGATTACAAATCTTGGGGCGGAGCCCAGGAATCTGCATTTTAAACAGATCCCCCGAGGGCATTCAAATGGGCAGTGAGTGTCAGGGACCAGTGTCTCTGGGCACGGCGAGGGCGGGGAGCCCAGCCCATGCTAGGTTGTCCTCCCAGCACTGCAGGGTGAGAAGGTAGGTGTGGGGGGATCTGGTGGTGGCCCCCAGAAGCGAGCCCCTCTGAAGGCTGTGTTCCTCCTCTGTGTCCCGCAGGGTGTCCTGGAGCAGGTGGAGGCCTACCAGGCTGAGGTGTGCGAGGCCCTGGCCTCCCTGCCCCCCAGCCCCGCGCTCCTGCAGGCCCTGCTGGAGAGGGGGCGGCAGCTGGGGGTGGAGGTGCCCGAGGCCCAGGAGCTCCAGCAGCAGGTGGAGCAGGCGCGATGGCTGGACGAGGTGAAGCGCACGCTGGCCCCCCCAGCCCGGAGGGGCACCCTGGCTGTCATGCGGGGACTGCTGCTGGCGGGTGCCAGCGTCGCCCCCAGCCCTGCCGTGGATAAGGCCCGGGCCGAGCTGCAGGAGTTGCTGACCATCGCCGAGCGCTGGGAGGAGAAGGCCCACCTCTGCCTGGAGGCCAGGTGAGTGCCCGGTGCTGGGACCAGCCTCGTCCCCCCTCTGCCCTTCCCCGCCTTCGAAGTTGTTAGAGAAGCTGAAGATGATTCCTCTGGGTGGCCTTGGGTGCCAGGCTCCTGTGTGGGTGTATTGACTCTCCTTCCCTTTTTCGTTCTCTATCTGACTTAAAAAAAAACAAACCTCCGTATACACATGGAGGCAGATAGTCTGTGGCGAAGCAGAGGTGGACAGTCGCATGTCCGGAGGAGTGCCTCTGCACGCTGACGGTGCACACGAGCACAAGCACCGACAGGCAGACGGACACACATTGGTAGGAAAACATCACACACAGGGCAGCCTGACAAGGCACAGCCCAGGTTGTGTGTGCAGGCCCCGCCGGCAGTGACTGGCAGCCACCCGCAGGCATCATACATGCGAGTTGGCCCACGCGGCGGCCCCAGGGCTCCCGCCGCTGGATCTGGTGGTCAGGCTGGGCTTCCAGGCAGACAGACCAGCCCTGCCTGAGGCCTCTCTCTTCCCTACCTTCAGGCAGAAGCATCCACCAGCCACACTCGAGGCCATAATCTACGAGGCAGAAAACATCCCTGTTCACCTGCCCAACATCCAGGCTCTCAAGGAGGCTCTTGCTAAGGCCCGGGCCTGGATTGCTGATGTGGATGAGATCCAAGTGAGGACCCTGCCGCCCCCCCTCCCGCTCCCCCAGGCCTTCAAGCCCAGCAGGAGAGTGGCTATCCATTGGGCTGCGGGTGGGGTCGGCTCAGCCAGAGAGGGGAGCAGCTGGCACTTGGTGAAGAGGCTGATGTGCTCAGTGAGCAGCCTGAAGAGGGCTTGCGAGAAGCGAGGAGGCTGATGAGGGTGGGAATGGTGGGAGCAGGGCGAGTAGACGAGGCAAAGCGTGACAAAAGCACTGGTGGGCCTGGGGGCGGCCTGGCTACGTGGGGGCTGAGCCAGTGGCTGTAGGAGTTTCCAGGGAGAGCCACGTGGGTATAATTGTCTCAGGACGAGCCCTGTTTTATTCTGCCTCCAACTGCGAAGTCCGCTCCGTCTTCCCGGCTCAGGCCGGGCACAGGGCAGCATCCGCAGCTGTGGGCACGCTGAGCTGAGCTCTGTCTCGCCCCTGTCCCAGAACGGTGACCACTACCCCTGCCTGGATGACTTGGAGGGCCTGGTGGCCGTGGGCCGGGACCTGCCCGTGGGCTTGGAGGAGCTGAGGCAGCTGGAGCTGCAGGTGCTGACGGCACACTCCTGGCGGGAGAAGGCCTCAAAAACTTTCCTCAAGAAGAATTCCTGCTACACGCTGCTGGAGGTGAGGGGCCCGGCCCGCTCCCCCCCTCCGGCCTGGCCGGCGGGAGAACATGGGGGGTGGGGGAGTTCTGGGGCGGGAAGGGGGGGCAGGGGAAGCCCATCACGCCCCCTCTGCCTGCCTCAGGTGCTCTGCCCATGTGCAGACGCCGGCTCGGACAGCACCAAGCGCAGCCGGTGGATGGAGAAGGAGCTGGGCTTGTACAAGTCCGACACCGAGCTGCTGGGGTTGTCTGCGCAGGACCTCAGGGACCCGGGCTCCGTGGTAAGGGGCTGGGGCCGGGTGGGGAGAGCTGGGGGCCACGGGGAGACCACCTGTGCCCTGGGCATAGTTCCCCCAGCTGGGGGGGTGTTCATGGCATCAAGGAAGGGAAGGGCTGCTGACCTGCTCTCCCCGGTCCTGGGCCTGGCGCTGCAGATCGTGGCCTTCAAGGAGGGGGAGCAGAAGGAGAAGGAGGGCATCCTGCGGCTGCGACGCGCCAACTCGGCCAAGCCCAGTCCCCTGACGTTGTCGACGTCGGCCGCCTCAGCCAGCTCCCTCTGCGTTTGCGGGCAGGTGCCAGTCGGGGCGGGCGCCCTGCGGTGTGACTTGTGTCAGGACTGGTTCCACGGGCGGTGCGTGTCGGTACCTCGCCTCCTCAACTCCCTGAGGCCCAGCCCCCCCTCCTCCCCGCTGCTGGCCTGGTGGGAGTGGGACACCAAGTTCTTGTGCCCGCTGTGTATGCGCTCCCGCCGGCCGCGCCTGGAGACCATCCTGGCCCTGCTGGTGGCCCTGCAGAGACTGCCCGTGCGGCTGCCCGAGGGTGAGGCCCTGCAGTGCCTCACGGAGCGGGCCATCAGCTGGCAGGGCCGCGCCAGGCAGGCTCTGGCCTCTGAGGACGTTTCTGCCCTGATGGGACGGCTGACGGACCTGCGCCAGCGGCTACAGGCTGAACCCAGGTCCCCAGAGCCCCCCATCCTCCTCCCTTCAGCCCCTGCCTCTGACCCTCTCAGAGAAGGCAGCGGCAAGGATATGCCTAAGGTGAGCTGCCTGCCCGGCTGTGGTCCCCAGATTCCTTTTGCCAGCCCCGCCCCTACGTGGGCTACAGCCCTGGGCCTGATCTCTGACCTTCCACCCCCCTTGGCCCACCCTGTCTGCCCCGTTTTATATTTTGTCCCGATTCCTGCACTGTTCCCCGCTGGCAGCCCGTGTCTGCCCTTCCACTCCAAGAAGGGGGGCGGGGGGGGGGAGGATCCCAAGTGTCGGGTTGTGGGGAAGAACCGAGTCTGGATCTCCAGTTGCCACTCCCGCTCTCACCCTCCCTGCCAGGCCCAGGGGCTGGAGAACGGAGACAGTGTGACCAGCCCCGAGAAGGTAGCCGCGGGGGAAGGCTCAGGTAAGAGAGGTAGGTGCAGAGGCGGCCAGGCAGGCACTGCACGTCGGCAGGCTGAACCACGCGGTCCTGGGCTCGGTGGCGGCGGGGGGGCGGCGGTCAGGGGCAGCCTCTAACCCAGCCTGTCTCCACAACCTCCCAGACCTGGAGCTGCTCTCCTCGCTGTTGCCACAGCTGACCGGCCCCGTGCTGGAGCTGCCCGAGGCAACCCGGGCCCCCCTGGAGGAGCTCATGCTGGAGGGGGACCTGCTGGAGGTGACCCTGGACGAGAACCACAGCATCTGGCAGCTGCTGCAGGCTGGGCGGCCTCCAGACCTGCAGCGGGTCCGCACGCTTCTGGAGGTGAGGACGGGACTGGGGGCGGGGCAGGAGGTCAGGCCAGGGAGCCCAGGCCTGACCACTGGCCCACACCTCTTTCCGCCCATCTGTGACCACAGCTGGAGAAGGCAGAGCGCCATGGGAGCCGGGGCCGGGGCCGGGCGTTGGAGAGGCGGCGGCGGCGGAAGGTGGATCGGGGTGGGGAGGGTGATGACCCAGCCCGAGAGGAGCTAGAGCCAAAGAGGGTCCGGAGCTCAGGGCCAGAGGCCGAGGAGGCCCAGGAGGAGGAGGAGCTGGAGGAGGAGACGGGGGCTGAGGGTCCTCCCCAACCCCTGCCCGCCACTGGCAGCCCCAGCACCCAAGAGAACCAGAATGGCTTGGAGTCGGCCCCAGGGGCCAGTTCGGGCCCCTCCGCCCCTTTCTCCACTCTGACTCCACGGCTGCCCATGCCCTGCCCGCAGCAGCCGCCTCAGCAGCAGTCGTGACAGTGGCTGAGCCTGGCACAGACCCCGCCAGAGACCCCCTTGGCCTCAAGGATCCTCTTTCTGACCATCAAGCCTGCTTCTTGGGAGGTGGGCGAGTAGGGGGGATGGCCACCCCCACCCCAGCCCACCCCCGAGTCCCTTGACTTTTATATTCTGACTCCAAGGTATTGTTCAGACCTCAGCTCCTGGGGGCCGGCCCCTGGAGTCCCCCGCCCTGGTAGCCTCTAACCAGCATTCCCAGACACCTGAGGCAGATGGACAGGTGGACGGGCAGGGGGACCGGGGGTGGCTGAGGCTGGGCCAGCACCATTCCAGAGACAAGGCCAGTGCATATGCAAACTGGGGGACTCCTCTCCCTCACCCCAGTTCCAGCCCTGGCCAGGCCAGGCTACACTAACCTCCCCTCCCCCTCACTCTCTCCTTGCCCTTCCTCACTCTCCCCTCGCCTCCCCTCCCTTCTCCCCCCTCCCCTGACCGACCCACCCAGGAGGAGGAAACCACACAGCTGTGCTCAGAGTCTTTTAAATGATTCGGCGGGAGCCCCCTGGGCTCTCAGCAATCTGAAGAAAGCTTTTGGTGCTTGTCCTCACAGCCACCGGCCCTTCCCTTCCCTTCCCTTCCCTTCCCTTCCCTTCCCTTCCCTTCCCTTCCCTCCCCGCCCCTCCCCATCTCCTTTCCTCCTCCTGGGTTCCTGTTGTAATGAAACTAGACCGTTGGTGTGTAATTAATTTGTTCAAAAGCAAACAAAAAAGCAAAACACGAAACCTGGTTCCAGCCGAAGCCTATCTTAATTTTATTTTATTATTTTCCTCTCGTTAGAAATAAAACCCTTAGCAACGTTTTTTGGAAACATGTTTCTGAAGTGCGTTTCTCTTCGGAGGGGAGAACAGTGAGTCCTCCATCGCCCGTCAGTGGAGCGGCTGCCGGGCTGGCTGGCGGGCTCTGGAACCGAGTTCCACCAGGTTCTCCTTACCTGGAGGCAGGACAGCCCGAGTCTCCCCTCATCCCCAAGCCAGTGCCCCCACCTCCCCGCAGGCGGCCCTGCGCCTCTCGCTTAACTCCCGCCGCTGTCTGCCCCCGAGCCCCAGAGTGATTTTTTGGCTTTCTTGAGGTCTTTACGCACCCTAAAGTGTACCTGCTTTCAATGTACAATTCAGTAGATCAGAGGGATGTCGCTAAAGCGCAGATCTCATTGTGTCACTCTACTGCTTAAAACTGTCCGTGATGCTTTATTGCCCTGAAGACCAAGGTTATATAGATATATATAATCTCATTCTTTCTGGAATGCTTCCTGGCCAATCCATACGCCAGTCAGGGGCCCTGCCCTGCTTTCTCTCCGCCCTCAAGGGTTCCTTCTGCCCTTGAATGGGACTAAAGCTCAGATGTGTGGTCATTTGCAGCCTTGAATGCACTTTTGAAAAAAAAACAGCTTTATTGCAATGTGATTTACGTACTGTGCAGTTCACCCACTTAAACTTGACAGTTCAGTGGCTTACATTCCAGTTGTGCAACCGTCATCGCAAGAGATTTTAGAATTGTTTCATCATTCTGAAAAGGAATTCCACACTCCTTGGGCATCCATCCCTCCCCTGGTTTCCCCTTCCTAGGCCACCAGTAATATCTATGGATTTGCCTATTTTGAACATTTTATATAAATGGAATCATACAACATGTGATCCGTTGTGACTCTTCTTTCACTCTGCATGTTCGAGCCGAATCCACTTTTAAATGTGGATACTGATGGCGTCTTTATTGGGTGGGGGGGTGGGGGGCGGGCGCGGGCGGGGGCACCAAGATGTTTTCCTTTTCTGGGCCCCAAAAGTGAAGGTGGTGGGCTGGGTCAGGGATCATCACGGGAGGGTGTTTGCATGTTTATGTGGGGCTTTGCATGCATGTCTTCTTAGGAGAGGCCCCAGCCCCTGTCGTGCAAGACCCAGATCAAATGTGACCCCTTCCAGCCCTGGCCGTTTGGCTCAGTTGGCTGAAGCATCATCCTGCACACCAGAAGGTCGCAGGTTCGATCCCCAGTCAGGACGCATATAGGAGGCAACCAATTGGTTTTTCTCTCTAAGCTTGCATCCCTTTTATAAAGGGGTCCTTGTCCCTCGAAAGGCAAGAACCACTTTGGTCCTGAATACCCTGTGTTCACTCTGCCCATGAGGATACAGAAGAGGAAGCCAGAGCAGTGGGTCAGCCCACGAACTTCCGGTCAGGCCTGCTTCCACCATGGCTGTTCCTCCTTGGGGGCGGGGCGCTACACCTAGGGCTTAGAGGCTAAAGATGGATGCCTGCCTAGCCCAGGAGCCCAGCACACTGCCACTCTGGCCTTGCTCGTAGGAATGCTCAGTGGGCTCTCCGCTCCCCCTGTCTGCCGATGGGAACCTGGTGTGAAACTACTCTTCTGGCAGCCTCCATTGATGGGAGGGCTGGGCTCAGGGCTGCCTCCCTTCATCTAATTGGGGGGCCCTGGGCTGGACAAGTAAGGGAGGCAGGGACCCCTGGACAATTATGTCCTGGACCCAGTTCAGGGGAAAAGGCTGCCCTTTTGCCCACCTATATGGGATTGACTCTGAAAAGAGGGTTGGAGGAGATGACTTCAGAAGAGACAGGCGTGAGAGCAGAGACAGAGACCAGAAGTGGCCTGACGGGAGGAAGAGGGCGCCTACAACCTGGAGCAGTTCCTGGCTGGAGCACTACTGGGTATGGGCCCAGCCCTCAGCAGTTTCCAGCCTTTGCCACCTAACACTGCCCTCGCCTCGGCGTATGCACCCCATGAGCTCTGCAGGAGAGGCCCTAGCCCCCATCATGCAAATCCCAGATCAAATGTGACCCCTTCCAGCTCTGGCCGTTTGGCTCAGTTGGCTGAAGCATCATCCTGCACACCAGAAGGTTGCGGGTTCGATCCCCAGTCAGGGCACATATAAGAGGCAACCAATTGATGTTTCTCTCTAAAATCAACAAGTGAATCTAAAAGTTAAGTGAATTAAAAATCTGAGGAACAGAATAAACTGGTGAATATAATAGAATCAGGGGCATAGAATGGGAGGGGATTGATAATTCTCAGGGGGAAAGGGGTGTCTGTGGGGGGGGGGGTACGGGAAGAGACTGGACAAAAATCATACACCTATGGGTGAGGACAGCGGAGGGGAGGAGGAGGGAGGTAAGGGCAGAGGGTGGAGTGGGGACCAGGTGGAGGGGAACAATGGGGGGGGGGGAGAAACAATTATAATAATCTGAACAATAAAGATTTATAAAAGAGAGAGAGAGAGATCACTTATAACGACTAACCCCAAAACCGCCTCTCAGGCCCAACCAACTCCTACCTTCCCCCCACCTAATGCCTCCACTGTGTCTTATGGCATCTGAAACCCTCTAGGATTAACAGGTCTGTCTCTCCCATCCCCAAGCTCCCCAAAGTGAGCTGCTAAAGGGAAAGCAAGGTCCCCACTTCCAGTCGGGGGCCTCCAGAGTCTGGGCTAAGAAGGGGCAGACCAGCCCTAACCGGTTTGGCTCAGTGGATAGAGCGTCGGCCTGTGGACTGAAGGGTCCCGGGTTCGATTCCGGTCAAGGGCATGTACCTTGGTTGCGGGCACATCCCCAGTAGATGGTGTGCAGGAGGCAGCTATCCCTCTCCCTTCCTCTCTGTAAAAAAATCAATAAAAATACTTAAAATAAATAAATAAAAATTTAAAAAGAAGGGGCAGACCAGAGCAATTGGAACCCCACACTGTGCATGTGAACTCTGTTGCATAAAGCTCATTGGTAAGGGTGCTACCCCATGGGAGTGGGGCATAGGGTCTAGTCTATGGTCACTGGAGTCCTGAGATTGTTGTGATTGAAGAGGGGTTGGTGCATAACCTCCATGCCGGCCTATCCTCCTGATGTACTGCTGTGTAACAGATTATTCCAGAACCTTAGTGGCACAAGACAATGAGTATCCCATGGTTCCTGTAGGTCACAAATCTGGGCACAACGCAGCTGCCTTTCTATCTCAGGATTTCTCACATTCTGTCATCAACGTGTCAGCTGTGCTGCAGTTGTGTATCTCAAGGCTTGACTGGGAAAGGATCTGCTTCCAGCTTACCTGGCTCTCCCAGAATTCAGTTCCTTACGGATTGTTGGATGGATAACCTCAGTTCTTTCTAGCTGTTGGTGGGAGGTCACCCTAAGTTTTCTTATAAAGTGGACTTTTCCATAAGGCACCAAAGAGCATGGCTGCTCGCTTCATCAGACCAATCAAGTGAGGAGAGAGAAAGAGGAGAGGGGGGAGGGGAAAGTGAATTGTGCATCTAAGCTCTAAACCTAACCCTAATGCTAAACCTAAACTCTAACCCTAATCCTGAGCTCTAACCTCGAACGCTGACCCTAACTCTAAGCTGTAACCCTAACCCTAAACTCTAACCTGAACCCTAACGCTAAGCTCTAACCCTAACCCTATCCCTGTTCTAACCCTAATCCTAACCTAAACTCTAACCCTAAACCTAACCTCGAACTCTAACCCTAATGTCTAACCCTAAACCTAAGTTCTAACCCTAACCCAAAGCTCTAACCCAAACCCTAACCCTAACCTCTAACCCTAATCTTAATCCTTCTAGGCGCACTGTGGCTGGCCTGCCCCCACCTGTTCTACCCCGTTGGGCACCTATTTCCCTGGGCCAGACGCTGTTTCCCTGCAGCACAAGAAACAAGAAAGGGGGAACATGCTCATTCCACAGAGAAGTGCTGTGCGAGGAAGCTAAAAACCCACAGGGACCTCACCTGGACAGTCGTTCTGGATGGCTCAGTCCCTCTGTCCACTCCAGCTCTGCCGCAGCCCCGTGGACCCCAGTGGTCCAGGACAATGGACCAATCGCATTGAAATCCCACCACTTTTGCAATATTCTACTCATTAGAAGCAAGTCATTAGCTCCAGAGCACATTCAAGGGGACGGGATTGATTACACATGGCTGTGAATACCAGGTGTTGAGGATCACTGGGGGCCAATTTGGAAACTGACTACTATAGTTCATTCTCTGACCCCCCAATGATTCATGTTCCTTCCACATGCAAAATGCATCCACCCCTTCCCAAGCTCAGTAAGTCTCATTCTGTTCCAGCACTGCCTCAAAGTCCAGAATCTCAGGGGTGAACAAGGCTCCTTGGGTGTATTCCTTAAGTGTGACTCCTTCTGTACTATTTTTCTCCATCTGTAGATCCATGAAACTTAGAAAACGTAGCTGTCCCCAACACACACAGCATACAATGATGGAACAGGCACAGGATAGCTGCTATAGGCATTCCAGTTTAAAAGGTGGGAAATGGGAGACACAAAGGAGTTGCTGGTCCATAGCAATTCAGAAACCCAATTTGGCAAATGATGTTCCTTGATTAGGTTTCAAAGCCGGGGATAATTCTCCATGGCTCTTGGCTCTGCTTTCTGGGCTCTTGGTTCCACCCTCGGTTTCTTTCTTTCTCTTTCTTTCTTTCTTTCTTTCTTTCTTTCTTTCTTTCTTTCTTTCTTTCTTTCTTTCTTTCTTTCTTTCTCTCTCTCTTTCTTTCTTTCTTTCTTTCTTTCTCTCTCTCTCTCTCTCTCTCTCTCTCTCTCTCTCTCTCTCTCTCTCTCTCTCTCTTTTTCTTTCTTTCTTTCTCTCTCTCCCTCTCTCTCTCTCTCTCTCTCTCTCTCTCTCTCTCTCTCTCTCTCTCTCTCTCTCTCTCTCTCTTTCTTTCTTTCTTTCTTTCTTTTTTTATATATTTTATTGATTTTCTTACAGAGAGGAAGGGAGAGAGATAGAGAGCTAGAAACATCGATGAGAGAGAAACATCGACCAGCTACCTCTTGCACACC